GGAAACCCCCATCCCCGTGCTGGGGGTGCCCCGTGAGGGTGGGAACCGCTCGGCTCCCGCTGTCCTCAATGTCCTGCTCCACCCCATTGCACTCCAGTGTCGTCCACATCACCCCCCCACACACCACAGCCCCCAGCATCGCCCAGCATCACCCCTGTGTCTGCATCACACTCCAGTATAGCCCCCAGCATGTCCTCCACCATCATCCTCAGTAACACACCCCCAGCATCCCCCTCAGTCCACCCCCTGCAACGCACCCCCTCCCATCAACCCCATGACACCACCCCCAACATCATTCCCCAGTGCAGCCCCCAGCACCCCTTCCCACAGCACTGCACTGCCATTCATTGCACACCCCCTCTGCACTGCATTGCATACCCACAGCACATTGCACACCCTCATTGCACTGCATACCCCAGGGGTCCTGCTCCCACCCCGACACCCCATCTCCATCAGTGCCCCCAGCACATGGCTGAGTTGGGGGTGGGGGTGGCTGGCATGGAGCACCACCACCCCTGTGCCTGCCCCGGCAGAGGCTGGTACAGTTCGTTACGTCCAGACCGGAATGTACTTTGTGTTAGAAGTGGCCCCCAGCCAGAACGCGCAGCGGCCGTTATTTATACTCCCACTCAGCTCTCCGCATCCTGCGCCCAGCACTCACGGCGTTATCTGCGCTGGGGCCATGCTGGGCCCCCCCAGTGCTGTGCCGGAGCCTTGGACTCTGCCCTCCTGCCATTCATTTACAGAGCAGCATCTCCGCTTTTAATATATATTTTTAAAAATACATATTTAAATGTATAATTATTATATATATATATAATATGTATATATACATTCTTGGTGTTTTCTTTCCCTTTCCCTCGGGGAGGAGATAATCCAGAGGTATAATTTACCCTTCGGGTGGCATAAAACTATCCATGCAGGAGGGGAGTGCCGTGGGGCAGCAGTGCATTGCACACACCCATTGCATTGCTACTCATCCTTGCGGGGAGCATTCCACTGCACTGCGCACCCCCATTGCAACACACTCCTCCACTGCATTGCTCACTCCCACTGTACTACATACCTCACTGCATTACACACACCCCCTGCATTGCACACCCCTGCTGCATTGCTGTGCATTCCCAAGGGTGTCTGTGCCACCCTAGTGGGACACAGGGAGCTGCTGTGAGGGGATAGCAGTTAATCCCAGCACGCGTTGAAGTGCGTGCTGGGTGCACATGGTAGCAGGGTCAGGGCTGTGATGGGGCAGCAGTGGGGCACTGGGTCCCCACATGCAGTTGCTAGGGGTGGGCTCTCACTAGCACTGTTTCCCCACTTCAGAGCAAAGCATGTAGATGGCTTCATGCAACATCCCACCATCACTTCTCTGCTGGAAAGATTTGTAGGATTAGATGCAGCGTGCAGCCATGCTTCCCATAGCCAGGCCCCACCCTTGTGGGCCCCCCGTGCCCCTGTGGCCCCATTGCAGCTGCACCTCAGCCATCAGCAGGGACACGGTGTACTCACACTGCGGTTGTGCAACCCCAGCCCTTCGCCTTCGTAAACACCCGACTGCTGCAGCAAAGGGCTGAGCTCACACCATGGCACAATTCAGCCCCCAACCTGGGCTGGGACACGAAGTGGGGAGTTTGGGGAGCTTACAGGGAAGAGAGGGAGGAGTGCAAGGGGGGCACCACCCAACAAACTGCTTTGCACCCCCAAAAGGGGCAAGGGGCTCAGTTTGGTGTTGGGAGCCCCACTGCTGCACGAAGGACTCAGGGAGCAACGGTGCGCCAGGCTTAGAGGTGCTGCAGTTTGCAGAAGGGAGGGAGCAGGGGATGCCTCTCCCCCTCTCCTTTTTTTTTTTTTCTTTTTTTTTCCCCTCATTCCCCTTTTTCAGTTTTATTACCTTTGGGCAGAAGGCTTTGCCATCACATTCCACAGGGTGTGGGGGCTCATGCCCAGGTTGTCACCCTTGGGGTATCCAGGTGTCAGCACACCCAGCTGTCACTTGGAGTGCCCAAGCTCAAGGCTTCACCTTGATTCCTGTCCCCATCAGGGACATCCATGTGCCAGTGGGATGACTGACGAGGGACAGGCAGTGCCCTGGCAGCTGTGCAGTGCCTTCAGGGATTATTCCTGGAATTCTGTTCCAGAGGAGTAGATTTCCTCCTGGGATGGGGTAGGCACTGGGGGGGCAACATACCCAGCACCAGGGCTTTGCACCCAAACCATGCAAGATTTCCCTTTGTTGCAGTGCCACCTCTTCCTATGCCCACAGCTGTCTCCCATGGGTCTCGATCCTGCTATCACCCCTTTGCGTCCCATATCACTGCTGGGGGCTGCAACTCTGCTCCCAGCCCAGCGCAGCGGGATCTTGCATAACACTGTGCTACAACACCCAGGCATTGCGGGCGGGTGAGGCGAGGACAGGGCTGCACCGTGCATTTCCTGGCGTGGGGAAGTTGACGTCAGCTCGTGCTCTTCTAACATCGAATTTCCTTACAAATACGAATTGCAAAGTTGGGGTGGGGGAGGACAGAGCACCCCCACACTGTGCTGATGGTACAACCACTGGAAGGACTTTCTTACAGAAACACCCCAATGCTCTCCTTCCTATGCATATTATTGTATGCGTTTTTTTTTTTTTTTTCTTTCTGTGCAAATAAACAAATGGAGCATTACGTTTGCACAGCCCACTGCAGCCCCCCACAGCTGCTGCTTTTTAGGACTTTGGCTTTATCACAGGATTCTGCACGAGGTGTAGCTGTGTCAGTGAGGACACCTTTCACCCCTCTCCCCAGGCATTCACTATCTGGTGGAGAGAAATGCAAAGATTTGGGGGCAGGAAATGCCTTTGAGCAGAAGCCGGGATCATTGGATCTCACATCGGGGTGCTGAGGACCTGTGGAGCATCACCCAGGCCTGGGGGTCCACGGAAGGACACTGGGGGCAGCTCCTGGAATAGGGCAGCTCTTGGGGGAGCGGGAAGGGTCCGTCCCAGTTTGCAGGGTCCTGGGGTGGGTCTGGCCTCGGTAGCATTGCTCGATCCCTCCGGAGGCTCTGCTCAGGGCTGGGGGAGCATTGCATGATGACTGGGGGGCAGCTCGCAGTACCTGAGGGGGGAGCTCTGATATTGCATGGGGTCGAGAAGCCCCGGGGCACTGCACGGAGCTGCACCTCCGCAGAGGTATTGCGCAGGGATGAGACGATCCCCCCGGGGTTATTGCACGGAGGTGAGATCACCCCCAGAGGCGTGGCATGGAGCTGCTCCCTTCGGGAGGCATTGCACGGAGTTGAGGACCCTCCCAAGATCACTGCGTAGGGATGAGAATCGCCCAGCCACCCCCGGGAGCATTGCGAGGGGCCGCGGCCGAACGACCCCGCTCCGCTGCTGCTGCCCCGGGCGGTGCGCGGGGAGGGCGGAGCTCTGCGGTACGGAGCGGGCGGCGGGGCGGGAAAACGCTCTGATTTGCATACCGCCTCCACTTCAGCCAATGAAAAAGCGCTGCTGGCGGTGTAAAGTGGATGGGCGGACGAAACTACCAATGGAAGGTGAGCAGAGGGGCGGGGCGAAGCGACTGGGAGACCCGGCCGGCGCGAGAGCCCGGTGCCACTCGGAGCCGGGCGGCGGCGGAGCGCGGGCGGCAGCGGTGGGCAGGTGGGGTGAGGATGGCGCGAGGGGGGGCGTTGCGAGATGGGATTGGGAGGGGAGGGGGGGAGTTGGAAAGAGCATCACGCGTGGGCTCCCCGACTCGTGCTGGCTGCGAAGTGCTCTAGGAGGAGAGGGTGGAACGGAGCGTCACGCCCCGGAGGCCGAGGGGACATGGAGGGGACGAGGGAGGGACGCGGGGGTCGGCACGGGTCCGTAGCGCTGTGCCTTTGGGTTCGCTCTGCTCGAGGAATTGTGCTCGTTCGCACGGAGCAGCGCAGCGCATCCCTCGCGGCAGAACCAGAGTCGGGATTGGAATGGGGGTCGAGATTAGGACTGAGATTAGGATCGGGATCGGGATTGGGCTCGGGACTGGGACCAGGATTAGGATGGGAGTTGGGTCTGGGATCGGGATTAGGATCAGTATTAAGATTGGGACCAGTATTAAGATTGGGACCAGGGTTACAATTGAGATGGGGACCGGGGCCCATCAGTACTGCAGTGCCCAAAGAGGGGATTTATTTTCAGAGTTGTCAGCAGATGAGGCAGCTGTGTTCAGATATAATGAGTTTCCTAATAGCATTGACCAAAAATACCCCCGAGTGCAGTCAGCAGTGTGTGGTTTTGTTCAGGATGGGTGCAGCAGCATGGCCAAAGTAAGCGGGGCATCTTGTTCAGATCACTCTGTTTCCTCCCTCTGTAGCTGTGTGGGTCTCCCAGATCATCTGGATATTATTTTTTATTTTGTTTTGTTTTGTTTTTTGCCCCCAACCCACACCTGGCAGGATGTGCTGCTGTCACACCAGGTGTCCCCTGGGTGTCCTGAACTATGGAAGTTACAACCTGTAAGGAGTAACCCAGGTTTGAGCCAAGCCAGTGTCCTCGTGGTGCTGTGGCAGGAGATGCCACGTGAGTCCTGGACCCCCATTGTGTGACAATACACTGCCTTGGTGAGCCAGGATGTGGGATAGTGGGGAGAAAATATGGGATGGGAGGAGGAAATATGGGTCAGGAGGAGGAATATGGGTTTCTGTGTAGGTGCTGGAGAAGTGATTGTTGGTGGAACCCTGGGAGTGAAAAAGCACGCATGATGGTGAGATAGTAGGGAGCGACCCTGGATGTGGCCATGGTGTGACCCTGGAGGTGGTGCTGGAAGAACCTCAGTGATGGCTGTGGTTTGGCTCCAGAGGTGGCCGTGGTTGGCCATTATATAACCCTGGAGGTGGCCATACATGAGACCCAGTGCCGGTGGATCTGCAGGATATGGACTGCGTGTTTCCTTGAGGTCCCCTTGGGATGAGGAGGGACATGGGATAGTTCCCTCTGAGCAGGAAGAGAGCAGCACCGGAGATCTCTAGAAAGCAGACCCCAAAACGCCCTTCTCAGAACTGTAGCTGCTCTGCCATTAGGTAGGTTTTAATTGCAGCCATGCACAAGGAGAAAGCTCACTGGGAAGCTTTGATTCGCTCCACCTGGATACCTGGTCCTGCACACCTTTGTTAGTGCGTGGAGAGTAATTAGCTGCTGGATGAGCCCAGGGAGAGGCGGGCTCAAATTTGGCAAATGCTTCCACCCCATTGTTTAGTGCTGATGAAGGCTTTGCTGAGCTCTGAGCTGTGCCACTGTTTCCCAGCTCGTTACCTTCTACGCTAATTACTGCCGGGGTCTGTGCACTGCAAGGAGGTGGGGACATGCATTCCAAAAGCATCCCTGGGCGCTTGCGCAGAGCCTCATGTCAATCTTTAACCCCCAGCACAGGGAGAACACCGGCAAACATTGCCCAGATAGGAGCAGACCTGCTTAGGAGCTGCAGAAATTGGGAGTAAGGCGCTGGTGGCGGTGTATTCTGCGAAGTGGGGCATTTCCAGAGCTCTGGGAGGGAGCTGCTCACAAACAGTAGTGCTGCTCGTGGAGAATTACCCTAATTAAAGGTAGTCCCATTTCAAGGATTTTTTTTAAATTTACGTTAGTTGCCTAATTAAATAAAGGCAGTGTTGTCTTGCTTGCCAGTAACAGTGTTTCTGGCTTGCACTTTGCACCCCACTTGCCAGTGAAAGGCAGCACAGTGTGCACTGTTGGTGTGTGCACCCTTGTGCCTGCAGCACTGGTTTGTACATACTAGTATGGGGTTACACTATGCATATGTGTGCATAGGTGGCTGCGCACATTGTGCATGCACATATAGTTGTGCACATTTGCATGCACGTGTGGCTCAGCAGAGGTTTCAGAACCTGCTCTTGCAGTAGCTTCCATGCATCCAATTGTACCTTCTCTTGAGCACTGCTTTGCAGGCAGAGGTTGGGGTATGTGCCCCAGACAGGTGTGCGGGGCTCTTGGTGTGCATGGATTGATGTGTTGGGTTTTCACACTGCTTGCAAAATGCTGCTGAGGATGGTAAGTGATGAAATAGAGCCCACTAATTATGGGGGAGCTGTTGTAGTTGAGGCTCACCTGGCCAAAATGGACAGGTGTGTTGCAGAAAGCCCTCTGTTACGAGCAGTGAGATGCCTTTATAACAATATAATGTTTCTTACTGGATTTATCCAGGAAAAAACACTAACTTAGAAAAGAACTGGCATACGAGAAATCCCTTGTTTGCCCTGTGCCGTATTGACGTGCGCTCCTCATGCATGGGGATGCAGAGCAGCAGGAGCACAGCAGCAGAGACCAGTTAAGTTTGCTCCATGGCCTGCAGGCTGTGTTTTGGTGTGCAGACAGGAGCAAATGTGTTTTTTTTCAACCTGGGAGGAAATGAGACCACATTCCCCTCTGTTGTTTGAGCAGCACTGAGCTCATGGAAGCACTGCTGCCCACAGAGCACAGATTTATAGATACCCATTGATATACATACCACTTCTCCATTTTTGAGTCACATTATATAGGTTTTACACACATTCTATCATCTGTCTATGCTATATACGGTTACACAGAGGAAGTGTGGTCTCCTTGCTGCCACCAGGCTTTGTCCTGGCTTTGCAGCCCTGGGGGCACAAAGCTGAGCTGCACTGACCTGCAAAGCCATGGTGACTGCATGTAGCACTGGGTATTCCTTGCAAGCACAGGAGTTGGCATTTGCTTTGATGAAAGCTGCCCTGGAGCAGCACCTGGTTTGTCACTGGGCACTGTTGGGGGTGTTCTTTCCTCCCTCCTGCATTGCAACACTTTGCACAGTATTTATTAGAGAAAACCGTTTGCTCTGTCAGAGGGAAGCGACACTGCAGTGTGGTGAGGAGACACGCTCGCAGCGTGTCCCTTTTTTGCCATATGGGGCAGCATTTGGGAACAGCAGGGTCCCACTTGGGGCTGTCTGCATGCCAAGCCAGGACCCTCCCTTTTCCCCCGCCCCTTCTTCCCCCCCAGCTCCTGCCAACCTCCAGGAGAGACACTGCAAAGTTTCCACTTGTAGCTGGAAAGTTCCTGGTATTGTGATTTCTAGGAAATGCAGCCTGGATGGTGGCAGAATGGGGTCCTGTCAGACTTTGGCCTACCCTTTCATTGTTGGGAATGGGTGGCCAGTTTTTACGGGGGCAGGTTTTGGTGCCTGTATCCAATGCGATCCTGGGGTGTTGCTCTCAGAGGATTTGTGTCCTGGTGCTGAAGCCTCTGGATTTGTCTTGATTTTAAAACATGTTTATTATAGCTCTTAAGTTACAGATGTACATTGAAATGGTGTGAAGCCACCCTGTTGTGGTTACATGTCACGGTCAGGACATTTCCCATTGTGCCCACGTGTACACAGATCCCTCCTGGCCCTGCAGCCTCCGGTACATGGCTCCCAGCAGGGAGTCCTTGCTGCTGGGCGCAGCTTTGGAGGAGGAAGGTGATGCTGCAGCTGGCCGATCATTCCGGCCTGAGACAGCCCTGGCCCTGGTGTGGAGCAGAACTCAGGGAGCAGCAGCCTTCCTCCGATGGATTGCTTCCTGTTAATCACTCTGGATCCCTGCCAGCCTTCCCTGGCTGTGCTTGTGCCTCCACAAGGCTGGAGATGAGCAGAAGCAGAGCTACCTTCTCTCTCTGTTTTGATAGACAAAGGTTCCTGGGCTCTGTCCCAATACACAGTGGTCCTGTGGGCTTCATCCCTCCCACTGTTGCTGACGCAGGGCATCGCCCCCCCACTCCTCCCTGTGCCTTGGACTGCTGCCCTGGATAGCTGCACTAATTGCTTACGTAGAAAAATAATGAGGAGGATGTGTGTGGTGTATTTTTAGATATCTCTTGGTGTGATTTGCCGACTGGTGAGACAGAGCTGGCATCTCCCGAGCCATCTCCTCTGCCCCCATGGTGATGCTTGATGCACCCAGGCAAGCTCTGCCTCAACAGGCTTTGGAAAGCTCGCTGTTCTTTGTACACATGGACGGAGATGACCTGAGCTCCTTGGGGTCTTGCTGTATTTCTGCTGTACAGTGTGCTGCTGGCTGCAGCCAGGAGCACGTGGGCTGGATGTAGGGCACCTTAGAGGAGGAGGTGGGAAGCTGATGGACAGATGCAGGATGGGCCATTCAGCTGAAAGCAATGTAGAAATACCCCTGAGCTTCCCAACTGCCCTGCTTGCACCAGTGCTCTTAGTGCTTTTAGGGGTTGCCATCCAAAATCTCTGCAGGGCAGGGGAAGTGGAGCAGATGCAGCATCTCATCAAACATAGCCCCAAAGGCTTATAACCGGGCACTGCAGTGGCAGATCTCTTCTTTCTCTGTTTACTCCTTCCACATGGAGCCCTTTGTGTCTTGTTTGTTTCCTGTGCTGGGAAGGCTGGAGTTGGGTTTGTCCTGCTCAGCCCAGGCGCAGTTGTTCTCGCAGTGTGACTGATCTGCCTTTGGAGCTGAAAACATCCTTTCTTTGCTGTTTATGAAGCCTCGAACTGATGATTTCTAATGTTGGTTGGCGTCAGCTTCCACACCAAAGGCTGTGGGAAAGTTTGGCAATTACACTGACTTTTATAGATCTGTTTTATGTTTCAAACCCATTGCTTTCTATTTCTATGTTGTATGGTTCCTTGATGACGTGTTGCACAGTAGTGTGGCTACCAAAACAAGTCATCCCATCGGAGGGGAATCATCAGGAAATGGTTTCTTTTCTCAACCAGAAGCATTTATGTTCTCACTGGGCAGCGTTTGTCCAGCTCTGCCACAGATGAAAACCACGGTTGTCCATCGCTGTGGCAAGGCACGCAGCAGCCTACGCAGAGTTCTGGTGCCTGGCTGCATGGGTTCTGCATCGTGTCCTTGCCGTGTTTCCCCATGCAAATTGCACTGTGTTCCGCTTGTATTTTATTTCAGCAAAATATTCACTGCCATCGGTGTGGGCATGGTCTGCTGGCTGCAGCACACTCTTCTCCTGCACGGTTGTTGCTTTGGGCAGCACTTTGCCCCAGAAACCCATTTCTTGCAGTTTTCTAACAGATTTTCTTTGTTGGAATTCTGTTGGCACTGGGTTTGCATTGCCCTGCTTTGCCTTTACGTCTTCCCATTGGGGTGAGACCATGCGGTAACCCACAGCCTCAGGGCTGACCTGCAGCCTCAGCACCTTTTTGGATCTTTTTGGGCAAGAGGAACGATGCATGCTTGGGTTTGGGCCATTCACTTAAGAATAATGCAGCCTCGGACGGAACAGGAAGTCGTTCCTCGTGGAAAATAATCCTCATCAGTGTGTGGCGTAGCTCGAAGCACAGCATTGTGCAAACTTTCAGGCAGTGTATAAGAGGGGCTGAGTTGAGGGAAGGAAGAGCTCTGAGGGCTCTGATTTTCCTCTCTGAGCATCTCAGCCTCTCAGCTTCACCACTGATCATGATGTCTGGTGATAAAGGTGCCTGAAGCCTCTCTGTTGGTGTTTCCTACTCCTTGGGCTGAAGGCCAGCATCCCATTGTGACTGCAGTCCTGCTGGTGGAGCCTCCCCCCAAAAGGCCCCAGTGCGTTGGGTGCAGCCAGCAGCGCCGAGCTCCTGCATTATGCTGTGCACTGGGAGCCCCTTGGTCGGCACGCGTTGACCTGTTGGCACATTTTGTTGGTAAAATCCTTTCTGGGGGACTCTCTGTAGCATGTGAGAGGACCTAGGGGTGAGAAATAGCAGGACATGAGTGTCTCCCTCATGGTGCCACAGCGCGGATCTGGCTGCCAGGGCAGCTCAGTGCCTGCCGCCGGAGCTGCGTGTGCTTGTGGTTCAGCAGCACTGAGCTTGGGTGGCCCCTGGGAAGGGATTTTCCGCTCTGCATGCTTGAGATGTTCTCTAAACTTCCTGCACGGCCAGCAGCACTAGGGCTCTGTAGTTCTTAACCCTTTCCCCCTCCTCCTGCCCCTCCATCCTCTCCCTAGCTGTGCTGCTCCTGCCTGGGGACGATGACAACTGACGAGGCCACCAAGCCTGAAGGTGAGGTACAGGTGGCCGCGCTGGCGGAGCGTGGGGAGGACATCACACCTACCCGTGACCGTGGCGTGCTGAAGGTGAGTGGGACCTGCAGTTGTGGCCATTTGTCATGGCCCTGTGGCTGTGTTCTGTCCCTGTGTTTCTGCTGAGACCCTTGGGACACTTTGGAGCATCGAAGGATGGAGCGAACATACTGCACACGGGTTCAGTCTGCTGAATGAATTTCACTGCTATTGTGTTTCTAATCAGATTATTAGCCTCAAATCCACAAAGCATTTTTGTGTGTGACTCACAGACATTAGAAAGAGCGCATTACTTAGGTCATGCAGTCTGCTTTGCAGCTCCTGGTTCTCATTCGGGGCCGTTTCTGGATAGTTCTGCTTACCAGCACTTGCTCTTCTCCAGCTGAACAGGACCTTCCCTCTAATAATAGCATCCTCCCCTGTTGGGAACTGCTTGTTCCAGGCTGTAGCAATATAAAAGAAAAAAAAAAAAACAAGCGCTGACAAGAAGCGAGGAGTGAAACAACACACCCCCATGAGTAAAGTTCCCGTGCAGGGGGAACTGCGCTGGTGTGGGGCTGGGTTTTAGGAATGGGGAATCAGATGGCTTGCCTACTGCCTTCGCCTGTGTTAGGGCAGCATTGCAGGAGAGGGTTTAAATGTTTACACACACCTGTTTTTTTTTATAAAGGATATATGTACATCCTAAGCTTACCACAGCCTCTTTCCTGTGGGTGGGTTTTCTCCATAGGTCATCAAGAGACCCGGGAATGAGGATGAGTTCCCTATGATTGGAGACAAGGTGTATGTGCATTACAAGGGCAAGCTGTCCAATGGCAAGAAGTTTGACTCCAGCCGCGATCGCAATGAGCCCTTTGTCTTCAGCCTGGGCAAGGGTAAGGGGACGGGGGACTCCCATGTCCCCATGGGATTAAGGAACAGCTTTTTGGGGTCCCGCTCTTGTGTGTTTTTTTTGGGGGGAGGGAGGTTCCTTCCTGATGCCACCTCTCTCCCAGGCCAGGTGATCAAGGCATGGGACATCGGGGTTGCTACCATGAAGAAGGGTGAGGTCTGCTACTTGCTGTGCAAACCGGAGTACGCCTACGGGGCCGCTGGCAGTGCTCCTAAAATCCCCTCCAATGCCACCCTCTTTTTCGAGGCAAGTACAGGGCTGGGAGATCTCTCTGCTTTCTGCCTTGCCAGCCAGCTCTGAGAAAGAGGAAAAAAAAAACCAAACAAAAAAACAGCTTGCATTCCTGAAACGTGTCCCTCTGCTCCAGGAACCAATGCCAGTGTTTTTTCAGCAATGTGTGTCTGAGCCGAGAGTCTGCGGTGGGGAGCAGCCCCGCAGGGAGAGCCAGCACAGCCTGGCTGTGCAAAGGCACGCGAGTGGGGAAACAGCTTGGGAACACCTCCAGGGGTTAAAAATCTGTTCCTGTGCTCCCCCTGCACCTCCCAGCCACGATTGCGCTCTGCCCTGCAGGATTAATAAACTTGGTTTTACTGTTACTTTGTGCTGCACTTCAGGTACTGGATGTGGCCCAATTTCTAATAAATTGGGTGTATTATGCTGTGGCTTGGAGCTGGCTTTTATGGGAAACTTCTGCTTGTCAGCTGAGCACAGAATTAGTTTGCTTGGCTCTCTGGCTTGGGGATGAACTGTTGCTTTGTGGATTTTCTGTTGTTTTTCTCCTCTCCTTCCTCTCCACCCACAGTTCTGCCTACCTTCCCTTTAATCCTTTAGATAGAGTTGCTTGATTTCAAAGGCGAGGACCTGTTTGAGGATGGAGGGATCATCCGGAGGATCAAGAGGAAAGGAGAAGGCTATTCCAACCCCAACGAAGGTGCTACGGTGGAAAGTGAGTACTGGGTTGGGAGCTGCCCTTGGCAGAGCATGTGACGGCTGTTCCAGAACTGCTGGCTCGGAGGGTTTTACTGGAAAACCTTGAGCTGCAGGAGCAGCCAGCTGGGGATGGAGCGACTGCTCAAGGACGGCCCGCACTCCGTTTCTCCAGTCCCTATGGGGTCTAGGGGTCAGCCCCTTTCTTTTTTGTTTGCCCCTCCCTCGTCCATGAGCGGCTCCAGGATGTGGTTGTATGTAGGACTGCTGTGGTGGATGCTGAAAACTCAGGCTGTGATTTGGATTTCAGCCTGTAGCACTGGGATTGCCGAGGTTTTCACTTGGTGTGAGGCTTGCCGGATTCTTGGGGCACATCTTTTTGTCCAGAGGAGGAGGCAGCAACCTCTCTGGTCTCCTTGTTGCGATGCTTATCGCTGTTTTGGAGGTTTTCATTGCATTCACTGCAGCATGGGCTCTTTTCCTTCCATGTGGCCAGAGGACAGCTTCAGACTTCTGGTCATAGCTGATGGGGGGTGAATTAGCACGAAAGGGGTCTGTGGAGTCAGTGTGGTCTGTAGTGCATTGCAGATCATTCTATCTAGCTCCTCACTCCTCTCTAAGAGGGACAGAGTGATTCTGGTCATGTTTATGGAGCAAGCATCTTACCCAGGTGGGGAAAGCCATTTTTTTTTTTCCTCCTCCTGTGAACAACTCAGCTATAGAAGTGGAGTTAACATGCCATCTGTGTAGGGCATCTAGTTTCTTATCCCCATTCCAGAGCTCCTGTTCGTTCAAGAGGGTCCAATTAACTTCCATTAGTGAAGGTGAAATTAGATCTGAACTCATAAAACTCACTGTCTGTTCCTCTCACAGACTTTTTTAAGGAGACGTTCTTGTCTCATGCTGATCTATCTGCCAGTCACGTGGCTGGACCCTGCTGGGAGTAGGGTTTCAGGCTGCCTTCCCCGTCTCTGAGGTTAACCTGAGAAACAGGCTGGACAAAATGACAATTGGCCCCATTCCCTCCTGCCTTTTTAACGCTGTTTTTTAATTTTATCTGAAGGGGCTGAGGGGTGAGCACACATGCCTGGAGAGCAGGGCAGAGCCATGCTCTCCCACCTGCTTTTCCCTTTGCTTAGGTGCAGTGACAGCATCGTTGCTCGGAGCAGGATGGAGATAGGCTGGGGAAAATACTGTGAGCAGTTGCTGCTCCGAAAGGATGCACCGACTGGAGCTCTGTGTGGGGCCGCGTTTCTCTGCACCTCGGAGCTGACCTGTTCCTGTTTCAAGTGGATGCTCGGTTCCAAGCGAATGCAGAGAACAGGAGCACACATACAGTCAGGATAATAGAGATGAATGCCCTCAGAGGCAGTGTTGCGTAGAACAGGAGCGCTGTGCCAACGTGGCTGCGGGTCCTTTGCACCAACCTGCAGTCTGGGGCCAGAGACCATAAATACATCCCAAGGAGAAAAGATGCGAAGGAGCAGTGAGCCAACCTGGCAGCCTTGCAGGGAAATGTTTTGGGTGCAGAGAGGCTTTTTATTTTCCAAATGCATTGCTGTTTACCTCAGAGTACTTTGCTTGAGGCTGGTTTGCAGGGTCAACCAGCAGCAGAGGTGGGACCCCAAGAAGCAGCCTTGGTTTATGGGAGTGCACCTCTGTGTCCTTCTTCTCGCTCCTGCATCAGGGATAGCTCCCAGGTGCCCGAAACCTCTGTTTGAACCATGCTAGGGAAACATGTACGCTAACCAGGGCAAGCACCTTCAGGCTGGAGTTTCATAAGCAGTTCTATAAGTTTGAGTTTTACAGGCCATAATTTGCAGGTCCAGTTCCTAAAACATGAGCTGCAGTCAAAATCCCACATTCCAGCTTTTGTTACAACCTTTCCCCACCCCCTCCCCCTCCTCTCCATTTTAATCTGAGTACAAATTGCTGTCAGCACATCAAGTTCATGTGCCAGCCGCACTCGGTACACTGTGTTCTGAGCTCTTCAAAAACAAAATCACTGCAGGCACCGGGAGAACAATAAGTCAGCACTGCAGCCGAAGGGATGTGCAGAGCCCGGCGGGGGCTTTTCTTGCTGTAATCCAAGAGCAACCGCAGCCAGCTGACCTGCTTCAGATAGCGCTGAAATGCTCCTGGAAACCGGAGCAGAGATTTCCCCGTTGCTAGTGTGCAATTAGAATAGAAGGAAAACTCTTCTACTTCTCTTGAAGCGAGGGCTGGGAGCTCATGTTCTTCTGGGCATACTGTTGTGATGAGGGCTTGTGGGATCACTGTTGTGTCCTGCTGGTGACAGGTGACCCAGGGATCCGCAGTGCCATATGCTTGGTGCAGGGCCAGGGACAATGGACGCAGAAAACACAAGCAGAGACAGCAAGGAGCTGAGAGGTTGGTGAGCTGCTTGTGCTTTAGGCTGAACGTTCCATTTTCCTGAGGGGATCAACAAGGTTTAGCCCTGGAGTGGACTTGCAGGAGTGTTCTCCATCATGCAGCCTGGCTGTGCAAAGCAGAATGCTGTCCTCGGCAGCACATCAATGAATGGCCAAACCATCCCTGCTTAGAAAAGGGGTTAATTTCTTCCCAAAGCTCTCACCTCTCCTCATTTTATCAGCATTTATATTGGCAATAGAAACCCTCTGGCTTCTCAGCAGCATGCATGTGAGAAGCTCGTGTCCATCCATCCATGCTGTTGGGTTCTGCTGCAATGAGCAGCTGCAACATACTTAAGCACTTTTGGCAGCATTAATGCCTAACCATGATTTTTTTTTTTTTCCTCTGTTGAAGGCTTTTGGGGAGTTTTCCTGCAGTAGGTAGGAGTGTCTTATGAGATTGCTTTTGTTTTGTTTGCTTTGAGCGCAGGGAACACCCACTGTCCCCCAGGCGCACAGCATCCTCAGGATTGAATAAATGAGGAACGATCTCAGGGTGGAAATCATGCCAGGAGCACCAGGTGGCAAATTTGCCAGGTCTGCTGTCCGTTCTGCCAGCTCCATGCGTTGGAACAGTGTGGTTGAAGATGAAAAAAATAAATGTTTATTTTGTACTTTCAGTTCAGTAGAGGCAGGAGAACATGGCCTTGTTTTTGAGGTCTAATGTAAGCATATAGTGTTGTATAGGAGATCTGTAATCACCGTGATAAACTCCACGTGGCAGTGTGCCAGGAGCAGTATCCAGTTCCAGTAAGACTGACTCGTGCAGTGCGGCACAAGAGGAACATATTAGTCATAATGTTTATCTGTTGTCTGGTCCTTGCTGGGATGAGATATGGTTGCACTGCTTTTTAGCAATGCTCTCAAGCCCTCCCACCCCTCTCTGCTCACTGTCTCCCCTGGTGCTTCCAGGGCTCTGGCTCAGCTTGGGGGAGGGTGTGGGATTCTGGGGTCTTGTGGTGGGTGTGGTCGCTAGATGGAATTGCCCCATCTCTGCTCCCACTTCCTTAAGTGCCACCTATGTGCAAAATCCCTTGGAAAATGCTTTGTGGAGAGCCACGGGGCTCAGGGCCCACACGGTGCTGACTGCCTGCGTCTTCACTCTGTCCCACAGTTCACCTGGAGGGGTTCTGTGGTGGAACCCGCTTTGACTGCAAGGATGTGAAGTTTGTGGTGGGCGAAGGGGAGGACCATGACATCCCTATTGGCATCGACAAAGCGCTAGAGAAGATGCAGAGGGGAGAGCACTGTGTCCTCTACCTAGGGCCACGGTAAGGGATTCTGCGCCCATGCTGCTTGGTGCAGGGTTGAAACTTCCAACATTGGAGGCCGTTAGAGCATTTGTGAAAATGCAAACGTGCCAACAGAACTTCTCCAGGATAAGTTGGTGTAACCAGCAGGGACTGCCAGAGGGGTAAGTGGGAGGCAGGGACTTGAAAGGGGCTTTATCCAGCTGTTGGGGCTCAGGAAATCACCATTCCTTGTCCTGACGCATGATGAAAGCTGTGTAAAGCCAGATCTGGTGCACCTGTGTGCATCTGGAGATGCACATGTGTAATGCATCATATGCTGCAGCATATCATTGCTTCTGGAGGATAATAGCACTCACACCCAACAGCATTGGCATGGAGCCACTTCTGAGAACAGCAAGCCACTTGGTTGTGTGCTTGCTAAAATGAAGATACTGGGGATTTAGCTTTCCTCCTGCTTTTTAAAGATGCTGGTTGATGAAGGGGGGTATATAGGAGGAGAATGGTGGAGTCAGCAGAGGAAGGATGGGGCTGGGGGGAGGCTGTGGGTGCCCCTGACCGCCCCCTGCGAGCTTCTTGCTTCTTCCCTGCAGATACGGCTTCGGCGAGGCGGGGAAACCCAAGTATGGCATTCAGGCAAACGCTGAGCTGGTGTACGAGGTCACACTGAAAAGCTTTGAGAAGGTGAGGGCAGGACCCCCCCGCACTCCCCACACCGCGCTCACCCTTTGTCCCTGGCGTGCTGCGCCACGGCCCCCGCCGAAGTGGAGACGTCAGCAAGGATCGCTGTGTTCTTAATTTGTTCTTGTGTGTTGGTTTGTTTCATTTTTCTGGCCCAGCTCCAAGGCTGGTTCTCTTATTTGTTCCTAACCTTGTTCCTTTTGTACTTCTTTTTTTTTTTTTTTTTTTTTCTATCTCCTTGGGCTGCACAGAAAAAAAATATTAAGTTTTGAATCCTGATGGGGGAGGGTTGGAGTGAATGCTGGAGGGGCTGGGGTCGAGGATGGGGACAGGGACTGGGGATAGGGCAGGTGCTGCTGGGTCTCTAACCTTGGCTGGAACAGGGATGGTGCCAAGACCCTATGCTGGGGAGAGATTTTCCCTTTTTTTTTTTTTTTTTTAATTTTTTAATTATGTTTGTTATTTAAAAAAAAAATCTGTGGGGGGTTTATTTTACGGTGGGATTTTTCATTCTGTGGGAGGTTGCTGTGGGTATAGTTGGGCTCAGAGTAAGTCCCATCGCTGCAGGGGTTATTCTGCACCCCAAGGCGTGCCCTTTGTGTGCTCCATGAATGTTTCCTATTCCCCATCCTCTCCACTCCATCAAATTCAGCCCTCTGTCCTGTGCAAGACCACCTTGCTGAGCCCCACTCTATTAAAGAGAAATCCTCCATACCTCCTGTGCTGCCTGGATTGTGGCATCCCATTAATTTTGCTGCTCTTACCATTTCCTAAGGGTGTGCATGCAGGTGGGGCTGGTGTTTGGAGTTGCATGGTTGTTGATCTGACGCTGTTTTCCACTGTGCAACTGCTGCTATGCCTTGGGGTGGTGGCTCTGAACATTTCTTTGCAGGCCAAAGAGTCATGGGAGATGGACACCAAAGAGAAGCTGGAGCAGGCTGCCATTGTCAAGGAGAAGGGGACAATGTACTTCAAGGTTTGTGACACCTGGGCAGAAGCAGGGAGCTGCACTGCTGGGCGCTTGGAGCAAGTCCTGGCTCACCTCACTGGGTCTTCAAGGGGTAAAAATGTCAGAAATGTCCCCTCCCAAAAAGTGCCAGTCCTCTGCAAGTTCCTCTCCCTGCATAACAAATATACTCCATAAGCAACGCAGCATTACTGGGGCCCCGCAGCCCCATCCACTCCTGCTTGCCTAGCTGCTCGTTGTCCTCAGCAGATCCACTGTCTTTCTGAGTCTGGATTCATAAAATAGAATCATAGAACCATGGAATAATTGGGTTGGAAGAGAACTTAAAGATCATAAAACTATGGAATGGTTGGGTCAGAAGGGCTTTCACAGCCCCCCCAAGCCCTTTATATTCCTCCCCCCCTCCCCTGGGGCACCACCAGGGATGGGGCACCTTCACCTTTTGGGCAGAAGCGCTGGGTAGCCTCACTGCCCTCTGGGTAAAGAGCTTCGCCCTAACTTCAAACCTAAACCTTCCCTCTTTTAGTTTTAAACCCTTCCTCGTGTCCTGTCTTTGCTCCATCTCAGGAAGGCAAATACCTGCAGGCAGTGATTCAGTATGGGAAGATCGTGTCCTGGCTGGAGATGGAGTATGGCTTGTCAGAGAAGGAGTCGAAAGCCTCCGATTCCTTCCTTCTGGCCGCCTTCCTCAACCTGGCCATGTGCTACCTGAAGCTGCGCGAGTACACCAAAGCTGTTGAGTGCTGTGATAAGGTATGGGAGCACGACTTTTGTTTTACTCTTCCTTTCCTATCCAGTTTGTCTTTGCACAAGCAGCAGTTTCCAAAGGGCACTGTGTTGGTGGCGTTAAGAACACCTAATTATTTTATAAAAGGCTCAAATTTATAATTGTTTGAGTTGGAAGGGTCCTTTGAAGGCCATCTGGTCCCACTCCCTGCACTGCACAGTGATACCCACAGCTCTATCAGGTGCTCAGAGCCCCGTCCAGCCCTGACCTTGGGTGTCTTCAGAATTAGGCGTCCACCAAAATTTAAGAATCTTGCCTTTGGTTCTTCATTGCATGAAGCTTTCTGCCTTAACCCAAATGGAAGTTACCAATGAGATGCATCTGTGGCTCTCAGGAAGCTTTCACTATAAGGAAACAACATGAAGCTGGGACAAAAACCCACTGTATCCATAGTGAAAATGCTGCTGAGTGTTGCTGGGCTCTGGAGAACTCTGTGCTTGCAGGCGCTGGGGCTGGACCAGGACAACGAGAAGGGCTTGTACCGGCGGGGCGAGGCCCGGCTGCTGATGAACGAGTTTGAGCTGGCAAAATGTGACTTTCAGAAAGTGCTAGAAGTGAACCCACAGAACAAAGCAGCCAGGTCGCAGATCGCCGTCTGCCAGAAGAAGACAAAGGAGCACAATGAGCGGGACAGGAGGATCTACGCCAACATGTTTGCCAAGTTTGCTGAGAGGGATGCAAAGGTTTGTCGTGCCCGGAGGTTGGGTTTGGGATGCTCAGCATGGTGATGGGGCTGAAACGGAGCAAATGGAGACTGGGACAAGGATGGAGGTCTGGATGGCAGTTATAGGTCATGCGTGGGCTGCAGCTAAAAAAATTCGAGTTCATAGAATTTTAGAATTACCAAGGTTGGATAATACCTACAAAATCATCCAGTCCAACCATCTACCTATCAGCAATATTTTCCACTAAACCATATCCCTCAGTACAGCATCTAAATGTTTCTTGAACACCTCCAGGGTCAGTGACTCCACCACCTCCCTGGGCAGCCCTTTCCAGCACCTGACCACTCTCTCGGAGAAGTATTTCCTAATGTCCAACCTGAATCTCCCCTGGGGCAACTTCAGGCCACGAGGGTCGTATATGGGCTGCAGCTATAGGTCTGTATGGGCTGTGGCTGTAGTTCATTTATGGACTGCAGCTGTAGGGCTGAATGGGCTGCACTGTAGGCTGTGTGTGGGCTGACAGAGCAGCATGGGAAGGAGCCCCTTGGTTCTTGGTCTGTTGCACACATAATCTGCTGTCAGGTGCTCACTTGTCGATTAAAGTGTTCAGGACAGCTCATGACAACTGGCAACAGATTTGGTGTTTGTGCTCCAGGTGCTGTCCCCTGCCTGTGGTGGTTGATGACATGGGTAAAGCGAAATGTCAGCCGCTCTCTGGCAAGGTCGGGAGGAGTTTGAGACATGATAGTATGGATTTCCTGAATCATGTAACCCAACTCTCTGCTCCTCTGCTTATACAAGAGATCACTTTCTTGTAATAGGCTCTTATCCAGAATTCCTTCAAACAAAAACCAATGCACAGTGTACTGTAACAGGAGAGGACAACTTTGCAGTCTATGTGGGTCCTTTTTTGTATAATCTCTTCTGAACCAGTGTCTGAAAATGAGGCAGTGGAATATATGAGTGCAGTGGGCAGGGAACAGCTGTGGCCCAGCACCAGGAGGGGAGGAGGGAGCGGGGCTGTGCTCAGCTGCCAGCTGTACTGGGGCTGCAGGATGTTATCCTGCACCTGGGGGTCTGGCTGCAGCCATTGGTTGTTGTGTATGAGCTGTAACTATAGGTGGTTGTGTATGGGCTGCACCAATAGATTGTGTATGGGGTGCAGCTATAGGTCATGTAGGGGCTGTGGTTATGGATTTGTAGGGGGTGCAGCTATACTTGCATATGGGTTGCACCTATTTAGGTCTGTATAGGGTGTGCTTATAGGTTTGCATGAGCTGCAGCTATAGGTCTATATGGGCTATAGGTTGTATATGGGATGCAGCTATATTTATATATGGATAGCAGCTATAGATCCATATGGGCTGCAGCTATACTTATGCATGGGTTGTAGCTGTAAGTCTGTATGGGATGCAACTCTAGGTCATGTATGGGCTGCAGCCATATCTCCATGTATAGACCACAAGCATTGCCCAGCACATGGACTGCAGCTCCATAGCCCATCATTCCTGTTTCTCACTCTGTGCTTCTCTTTCAGGAAGCAGCCAGCAAAACCAGAGTAGAAAAAGAGGCAGCGACAGCAACATGTGATGAAGGCAAAGAGACAGAGGGGCACGTATGATGGAGGGGGTGGCAGAAGGACAAGCCTCCTGCCCTCAGCCTGTGCCGAGAACTTTGCCAGGACTCAGGACCTGCTGGTGTTTCCTTGTAAAGTTTGTTCCAGTTTGTGTGATTGTGGAAGCAAAAGTGCCTCGCAGGGATCAGACCAGCCTGGTGCTGCTGCAAGCTGCGAGCAGTTGGATGGTGTGGGACCACCAGTGGAACGACCGCCTTCGCAGGGGTGGGGGACAAAGAAATTGAAGCTGGAACTCCTGGCTTCAGGAGGCTCACCTTGCTCTATGTCCTCTGGGAGGAGCTGGGATGTGGAAGCAGTGTGGCAGGATGCGACCAAGCCTTCCTCCTGCGCTGCCTTCCTCCTCCTTGTCCTCCTCACTGTAGGGCTGAGGGGGCTGCAGCAGGGTGTCCGGACCCCACTGTGCTCACTGGTCGTGTTCCCTGTTCCCTTTGGCCACGGCAGAGCTGTGGGCTCAGATTTTTCAACAGAGGTTTTATGGCATGGTCATGGCCCATAGGAACAAAAATAGTTTAATTTAAAAAAAAAAAAAAAAAAAAAAGCAGTGGGAGCAAAGGGGAGCTTCTCATGGAGCCGGTGCTGCACGGTGCCATCCTCCAGCCCATGAGAGGGATGCGGGCACTGCCTGCAGAGAGCAGCTTTCAGGTTTTTATTTTTATTGTCTGGTCTTTGTAATACCCCTTTGGAAGCTGGAAAATAAAAAACTGAAAAAAAAAAAAAAAAGTTAAAATAAAAAAGTGCTTCTGTGCTCCATCCGAGTGGAGATGCAGCAGTTGAAGTGTGTTATGGAGTTACTGCTGTCCTCTAGGCTGGTCCTGCTTTGGAAAGCTGCATGGAGTCCTGCTTTGGGATTCTGCTTTGGAGTCTTACTTTGTGGTGCTACTTTGGGGTGCTGCTTGGGGTCCTGCTTAGGGGGTGTTGCTTTAGAGTGCACCTTTGGATGCTGCTTTGAGGTCTTGCTTTGGGGTTCTGCTTTGAGATGCCCCTTTGGGTGCTTCTTGGGGTCCTGCTTTGTGGTCTTCCTTTGGGATACTCCTTTGGGGTCTTGCTTCGTGTTGCCGCTTTGGGGTCTCAGCAGTGCAGCCTTCCCAGCCTGGGGAGGTTTGTCCTGATGCCATTATTTGTTCAGCACCAATGTTTGGGAGATTTGAGGCTGGTGCTTCGGGGTTGTTGCTTGCCCCAGGTCTGGTGCTGGGGTGAAAAGCTGAATGGAAGTGATGACTCTGCAAAAAAATGTTTCGTTTTTGCAAGCAGGGCAAAGAAGTCACTTTGGGTCAGCTAAAGTCATGTTTTCCTTAGGAAACAAGTCTGGCATGCTCCACAGAAACTTGCAACTCTGGCTACACGGCGAGAGGGTGGCAGTGTTGAGCACACCATGGCTCAGGGTGCTCTTCTCTGTGTGGGGTGTGCAGTGTCCAAATGCCACCTAGTGGCACTGGGTGCTGTAGGGAGCAAGGCTTCAGTGGGTTGGTGCTGCAGTGGGGTTGCATTGAGGAAGGAATGCGTTTGATGCTGCAGTGGGGTTGAGTTGGGTAAGCAACTGGTTTTGGTTTGGTGCTGCCACGATATTGAGTTGGGTAGGCAATAAGTCAAGCAGGGATCCTTGGGTTTAATGTGCGAACCAACCCAAATCCTGTGTTTCTATCCCCAACATTGGATGGGAAAAAGAAGGCAAACCACAAACAAATCCCCCAGGTTCCCTTTTACTGGGATTACTGCGACAGCTGTCACTCTCCCTGCAGGGCTGGCCAGCCCTGAAATCCTATTACTGAGTTTCAGGAGAAATAAAAAGTTAATCGTCTCCTCTGCGCACTCCTGCGCTGCTGGCACTGGGGCTGAGGCTGCACCCATGGAGCCAGCTCTGATCCTATAGGCACTGCAGCAATGCCACTGCAGACAGAGATCCTGCGTGAGGTGTGGGCCACCGACAGGTGAGGTCCTTTTTTCTCCCTTTTCAATTTAATGGTTTGTCTTAGCGTTATTCTGTTGAATTTTTTGCTCCTTTTTTTTTTTTTTTTTTTTTTTTTTTTTTTTTTTTTTTTGCTTGCTTGAATGGTCAGTGCCACCGTGCTTGGTGGTTTGCAATGGGAAAAACATTAATTAGGGCACATTCTCCCTGGTTAACCTCATTGCCATCAGCCCTGACCAAAGCAGAGCCCAGCCTGTGCTTGGCCATGTTGGGATATGGGGAAGCTGCTTTGGAAAATTGCTATCCCTTTTGGCTCCTGATCACAAAAAAAATGAACTTTCAAGCCCTTCTAATGGGGCCTGCCCTCACCCACCTGCTTCCTCTGCCCACAGCCCCAGCGAGGAGCCGAACAGCCCTCAGCAGCAGCGGCTGAAGCAGGTGAGGAAAAATTCTTCTGTGGGCTGAGGATGGGTGCAGCTCCTGGTCCACATTGTGGTGGGAGTGGAGTGGGGTTGGTGCTCAGTTCTGGGTGAGTGCAGGTGTTTGTAGGACCCCACTCTGCTTCTGATTTGTGCATCCTTCCCAAGACCATCTCCATCTCATCAGATGGGGTCTCAGCTCCTAATTAGTGCTTTAATTAAGCCTTTCAGCTGTCAGCGGTGTCACTTTCCACGCTGTGACCACTTCTAGGAGTGGCTGCATTTTGTGGCAGCCCTGTGGGGCAGCCCCTACAGAGGGTTCTCTGCAGCAATCTGAGTACTCTGCTGTAATTAGCAGATTTTGTTAAGTAATGAAGTGAAGGGCCATCCTGCCCCTGTGCTGCTTAAGCGATTAAAGGAGAGAAGGAGCTTTTTTTGTAGCCAGCTGATGGTATGAAAGAATTTGGGATTTGCAGCCCCACCACGAGACCCTGAGGAATATGCACTGGGAAATGGCAGTGGGTTAGTGCTGTGGGGCAGATCCATCCTTTTGCGGTGCTGAAGTGCTGGGGGCTCTGCCTGGGGAGGACCCCCCCAGAGCAAATCCCTCGCGAAGGGGGGAGGGCTTTGCACCCAGATGTGATCAGTGCTGATGCAATCAGTGCTGCGTCACTCTTGGGGGACCCCGACCAGGTGCCCTCTCCCCTGATGTCCCCTGCCTGGTGCTGAACCACATGCTCTGCATTTGGTAAATCAGCATTATTTATAGCCCAGGGTAAAGAGGATTAGGTGTGCTGCCTTTAATCCCCCGCTTCCTCCTGCCCTGCTTCTGCTGACCTCGATCCCTGCAGCTCTGATGTCCCAGCCTGTCTCAGCACATGGCCTTCAATCTCCACTCCACAAATGGGTTTCCATAAGAAACACATGTGGGTGAGAGGAGCCAGGGGGATTCTGATCCCCACACCCCCTGTGTATCCCTTGAGGCTCCCATATGGTGGTATGGCCCCTGGACAGGCACAGTGTGGTACTGCTGCCCTCCAATCTCCTCTGCTAACGGCCCGTTCTGTTTCCTTCCTGCCATCCCTCTGTGGGCCAACCTCATGGTAAGTTGTTCATGTAACAGTGCAGCACGTCCCTTGCAAGAGCTTTTGCAAGAACAGTGTAAGAGCTGCTGTGCTCTTACAGCATCCCTTTCCAAAATGCACCAGTGTGCCCCAGCTGCTGTAAGAGCAGATGCTGAACCATGGCACGGTCTCTGCAGCATCATCTGTGGGGCAGAAGTTGAAGAAGAAGCGGCAGGAGCCAGCAGTGGAGCCTGAAGCCAAACCACGACGGCTGCGGGTGAAGAAGCCGAGTGAGCTCAGAGGTACCGAGGAGCCCCATGGCCCAGTGCAGGGTGAGCAGCCTACGGGGACCCTCTGCCAGCTCCTGTTCCCTCCAAAGCTTATGCCCCATGCACCCATGGTGCTCCTTGTCATGAGGGCTCTTGAAATGTGCAGGGGTGAAGAAGGTGGGGAAGAAAAAGGAGAAAGGAGAGGAGGAGGGTGATAAGGAGCCCAGCTCCAAACCCTCCCGGGAGCCTCGGAAGAAAAAGGAGAGCTCAGCGCCTCGATCCCATGTGGCCGAAGGCCTAAAGAAGCAGCAAGGTGAGGGGACATGGCGGGCAGCAGCCATCCCTTCATGGGCACCAGTTCACAGCATGGTGCAACCACATTCCCTCATGTACCATGTGTCCCCATGAACCGCGTCCCTCTGTGTCACGACACCAAGCACTTTGTCCCCACTGCCCACCCCACTCATATCCACAGCAACTCTGCATCCTCTTAGTGTGCTTTTTGCCCCCAAATCAGCCAAAGGCATCCAAAAAGGGTGAGGAACCTCCAGCCCCATGTCCCCATGCCTCATGTCCCCACTCACCACATCCCTATGTCTATGCTATCAATATCTGCAGGAACCCTGCACAACCCTATGCTGGTTTTTGTCCCCAAATCAGCCTGATGCATGAAAGGTGGGGATCCCCCAGATCCATGTGGGTCCCTCTGTCCCTTGTGTGCCACCACATCTCTCTGCTGTGTCCCACTGGGCAGAGGCATCTGAGGAGGAGGAGGAGGAGGAGGAGGAGGAGGAAGATGAGATGGAGAGTAAAGATCCTCCCAAAAAGCTGAAGAAGAAACTGACCAAAGAGCCACCCTCAGGGGAGAAGAAGCTGAAAGCAAAGGGTGAATACACGGGGGTGGCATAGTCCCAGTCCACTGTCACCACGTAACCTCTGTCACTGCCTGTCCCTGGTCTGGCCCTCCAGGTGACAAAAGTGATGCTGACAGCAAAGCCAAATCCACCAAAAGCACCAAGAAGGAGCCGACATCCATGTTCCATGTGAATGGGGAGAAGAAGGAGAAGAAGAGCAAAAAGAAAGGTATGAGGTGAGGGGGGGTTGGCATCCTCATCCAGCAGCAGCCATGATGTGTGATGGTGTCCCCATGTTCCCATAACCCTGTGTCCCCATGCACCGTTTTCCCATATCCCCATGTCCCTGTGTCACTGCGTTCCTGTGTCTCCATGCCCTCATGTCCCCATATCCCTGTGCCCCCCAGCTGCCACCGGCAGCGATGAGGAGGATGACTCTGATGCCAGTACCAAACCTATCCGATCGGGTAAGAAGAAGAATCCGGTGTCACTCTTCCAGACCGGTGGGGAGCCTCCCAGGGAGAGAAAAACCAGGAAGAAAGGTGGGAGCAGCGCTGGGGGGGCTCCAGGGGCACGGGGGGACTGGTTATGGGGCATTAGTAATGATGTGTTGGCATTCCCTCCTGTCTACAGCTCCTAAAGCAGCAGACAGCGAAGAGGAGACCTTGGAGACACAGCAGAAGAACTCCAACAAGAAGGGCAAAGGGAAGAAATCTAAAAAGGTAAGGGGGGAAAAAGCCAGAGACACCCATAGAGTGGGTCAGGAGCATCCCCTGGGGTAGATCTGTATGGCCATACTGTCTCCAGAGCCAAATCCTGGGGGCAGGTGGGGTGTAAGGAGCTGGGAGATGGCAGTAAATGGCACAGGACTTGGGATCCCCCAAATAAAGCTGTGGTGTGGCCCTACAGAAGGAGGAGAGGCCACTGTCACCTGTCATCGAGGTGGACAATCTGGAGAAGTTTGTGCTGTCCCCAGCGCCACAGGGGGTGACCATCAAGTGCCGGGTGACGCGGGACAAGAGGGGTATGGACCGGGGCCTGTACCCTACCTACTACCTGCACCTGGATAATGACAAAAAGGTGAGCAGGCAGGGGGCTGGAGACCCATGGGAACACCAAAGGAGTGCACCCACATGGTTTTTAGGGCAAGCCTATGTGCACCCCACTATGACTCCACTGGGCTACTTCTGTCCCATTTCTCCTTGGAAATGCCAATGTTGGTGCATGGTATGATGCCAGAGAGGTAATACTCGTGCCACGCATGGGGACACTGACAGTGTTTTGGGGCTCAGCTGTGCCACAGTGGTGCTCATGGTAGGTCAGTGGTTGGATTTGCTGATCTTAGTGTTCTCTTCCAACCTTAATGATTCTGTGGAGATGGGTTGATGGTTGAACTGGATGATCTTAGAGGTCACTTCCAACCTTAATGGCTCGATGACTTTACAACTTACATAATGTCACAACTGTGTCCCCATTGCACAATGCAACATGCAGAAGGTACGGTGAGGTGACAGCCCCGTTGTGCCCCCAGGTCTTCCTGCTTGCTGGGAGGAAGCGTAAGAAGAGCAAAACCTCCAACTACCTCATCTCCATCGACCCCACAGACCTGTCGCGGGGTGGGGAGAACTTCATCGGGAAGCTGAGGTGGGTGCCACCAACGTTTGCACATCAGATGTGGGATGGGAGTGGGACCAGTGCAAAAGGAGAGGTTCTGGATGGTGGGATTTGGTGTGTGACGGTGATGCTGGTGGCACCAAATCTTGTCCCTGTGCTGCAGGTCCAACCTGATGGGGACCAAGTTCACCGTGTTCGACAATGGCGCTAACCCTGATCGGGCCAGTGCTGACTGGTCCAATGTGCGGCAGGAGCTGTCGGCTGTGGTTTATGTAAGAGTTCCCCCCAGCAGGGTCTGAGGGATCACCAACCTGCACCCCTTTGCTGGGGCATCACTGGGGGCTGCAGAGCCATGGAGCCATGCAATGAGGCTGCAGCCCACTGCAGTTGCTTATTTTATGAATGGGGCATCTCTTGCAGGAGACCAATGTGCTGGGGTTCAAAGGGCCCCGGAAGATGACAGTCATCATCCCCGGGATGAACTCAGACAACGAGCGGGTGCCCATCCGGCCCCGAAATGTGAGTCAGATGGCCAAGGATCAAGTGAGGATGGAGTCAGCATGCCCTCTGGGCTGGGTTTGATGGGGTTCACTTGAGGTTCACCTGGTTGAGGCATCCCTCAGTCTCAAGGCACCTCTGTGGGAGGTGGAGGTGTGGTGTTAGTCTCTTCCCAGCCATGTCCTGCTTTGGAGTTGTGTGTTCCAGAGCACCCAGGGACAGCATCCCACTGTATGCCAAGTCTCACCCTCTTTGCCCTCCCCAGGACAACGATGGGCTTCTCATGAGGTGGCAGAACAAGAACATGGACAACATTATCGAGCTGCACAACAAGGCACCGGTGTGGAATGACGAGACTCAGTCCTATGTCCTCAACTTCCACGGTCGTGTCACCCACGCCTCCGTCAAAAACTTCCAGATTGTGCACGGCAGTGACCGTAAGTGGAGGCTTGGCTGACTCCCAGCACGCATTTTGGTTTATTTCTTGCCCAACTGCTCTGAGGTTTCCCTGCGTTCTGCTCCGGCAGAGGGAGCACGTGGGTCGTGCATGGTCATGCAAAATAGGGCATGACTCGATCCTGCAGGGTGCTGAGCCCCACAGCAGCATCACCGCCAGCACACACCCCTTGTGTGCTCCCCATTTGCGCATCTTTGGTGTGCATCATGCCTTGGGGATGACCCCTTAGGGTGACCCTTTGGGTGATGGATACAGGATCCTAACGTGGCTCAGGGGTACATTTGTACCCCCTTTGCCAGCGGCACTGCCTGCCCCACGGCAAAGCAGACACAGCCCCATGGCAAGTGTCCCGGCATGGGACAGCACTCAACCCCTCGTCACCTGTCCCGCGCAGTCAGAAGCCATCGGCACCCGCGGGTGTTGAGTTACAGGACAGAAAAAAACCTGTCGGGGGCCCCCGGTTATTTTTACAGATTTCCTGCCACCCGTGCTCTGGTAACAGCGAGTGTCCCGTGGGGGGCAGTAGGCTCTGGTTCCCAGGGACAGGGTGCTGGGGGGATCCAGAGTGCCATGTCTCCTCTGAGGTGCAATGGAAAAACGCTGCTTTTTGGTTAATTGAGCTGCAATGCAGTGCAGCAGCAGCCAGTGTACAAGCTGGGCATGGGTGCCCTCTTTGCAGTGCCACTTGGAAAGGGGAGGTGTGGGTGTGGGAGCCTTCCAGCCCACACCAATGCGCTCTCTACTCTGTCCTGCAGCTGATTACATTGTGATGCAGTTTGGACGTGTGGCAGACGACGCCTTCACCATGGACTACAACTACCCACTGTGTGCCGTGCAGGCCTTTGCCATTGCTCTCTCCAGCTTTGATGGGAAGCTGGCCTGCGAGTAGCTCCATGCTGTCCTGTCCCCATCCGCTCCCCCGGTTCCTGTGTCTGGCACTGCTCCATTGGGCACCGCTCCATTGGGCAGCACTCTGTCAGGCACCGTTTTGTTGGGCGCTGCTTGCCTGGCTGTGGACACCTTCTCTGGGCACTGGTTACTGGTCTCAGGCAGAAGGCAAAGTTAAACTTGGAATATATCTCTTTTTTAGCTTCTGTTTTGTATGTTGTAGCACAATCTTTACACAAGAAGAGGACGTGATCTCCTTTGGTTTGCGGTTCTTCGTACCCATGCCCAAGGTCACCCCCAGCCGCCAGCAGCACACAATAACTGATTTCATTTAAGAACTGTTAGCAGGCACAGTGCTGTTTCTCGGAGGCAAATCTCCAGATTTTCCCAAAATGCCAACCTAGTGATGCTCTTCCATTTTCCAAAAGCTGCATGGCTTTGGGCTTCATGAGTCATCACTGCATCAGGGGCAGATGGAGCCCTACATGGGTGCATGGACAGCCCCATCCCTTATCCATGTGGGAGAGTTGGAAGGAGAAACAACTGCTGTGGTTTAGGGCCAGCATCTGGCTAGGTACAGCCAGCAAATGTGGGGGAAAGCCAGAACTTGCTGCCCAAATCCAGCTGCCGACCCCACATTTGTTTGAGATTGGGAAAGGAGCAGCTGATGGTTGAGGACTGCCTCCATCTGCACTTGTCTCAGTTTCCTGTGCATTTGTGGGAGGCAGGAAGCCAAATCTCGGTGAGAAAGTGGGGTTTGGTACTGGGGTCCCCAGAGTGCACCCTCTCAGAGCATCACTGTTCTCTGTGAGTTCCTCCCTCCAGCAACCCCAAACATTTTTTCAGATATTACTTGCAGTTCCCCCAAGTTGCCAGCCTGGGGTGCAACCGAAGAGAGCAAAAAGCAGCACTGTGTTGGAGATGCAATGCAATCCCATCTCAAACCCATCACCTGTTGGGTTGGAGACACAACACCATCCCATCCCAAACCCATTGCCAGCAGCAGTGAGCCTAATGTGCAAGCACTGCACGCACAGCCCACAGCAATTACAGCATCAGCCACCTCCCCCAAATCACTTACACAAATCCTCCTAACCCAAACCAACTGCAGCATAGGAAGCAAACGAAAGCAATTTAATAGGGTGCTGGATGTTCGGGCCCTTTGTTTGCGCTGGCTGTTAACACCAGTGGAGATAAAGAATTGAGGCAGTTGCAATGTGTATCTACTTTGGCCGATGGAAAGTGTGACAGATGCTCAGACAGACCAATGGGTGAGGATGAGGATGTGTGCGTGGGTGTGGAAGGAATGCTTGCTGCAAGTAAAGATCAAAAAAAAAAACAGTAGAGAAGAAGAGGAGGGAGCTTATCAACTTCTGAGGCCAAAGTGTGCATTGTCCATAGAGAAATGCTTTTCTGAATCCAGGGGATGAGGTTTACCCTGAGGCAAAGGCTTTGAGGCTTCTTATGGTTGAGTTTAGGGGTTGGGGTTGGGCTGGTGGAGCGGGGATGGGTTTAGCCCTATGGAGCACATAAGCTCATCCCAGGCTCCTCCAGGGAAATGCATTGTATTTTTTGCAAAGATGTAAGGAAAAGAGAGAAAAATGCATCCCACCTTGATGCTGCATATCCTACCTTGATGCTGAGCACCCCACCCCATCCCTCTCCAATAAGCGGAATGGTGCTGCTATGGGTCACATCCCAGTGGTATGGGTGTGCAGGACATGCTGCTCTTGGCGTGATAACCAACAGGCAGCACTCGGAAAGCTGATATTTTTCAACTGCTTTAAGAAAGGAATCATTTTTTAATTAGTGAATCCATTCTGGAGAAGTGTCAGAGTTTTACAGTGTTGTAGCTGTTCTTGGTGTGTTGCCTAGACTTGGATGTTCCAGCCATAAGAAAATATTATTTATGGCATTGCTGCTCACAGCTCTTTTATATTATAATTTGGGAAAGGAAGTTGCTGTTCCCACCAGTGGACAAAGAATAGCAGAAACCAAGTTTAGGAAAAAGCCCCAATCGGCAGCACCGCAGCAAAGCACCTAGGGCAGAACTGGAACAGGATGAGACCATGTTGCAGCCACTGACTGCACACATCCAGCTCGGCACAGCAGTAACCCCACCGCTGCTCCCCTGCACAGAACGCCATGTGTTCATAAACATTTGCAGATCAGGCTTTTCTTCATGGGCTAACACACGCTTGTTTGCTCATGCCTTACTCAGACTAAACTCCTATTGAACTCAATTAAGTCTGTCATCTCCAGGAGCAGTCAATGTCATTTTTGCCCAAGTAAGGGATGAGTAACGAATGCTTTGAATGGCCCTTGGAGAATTGCAGCCATTTTGTTGCAGTTCTTGGTCCAGATTCTTGCAGTCAGCACCAGGCCAAGGGTGGAAAAATGCGATATGGCCATATTAATCACCCAGATTGCTGAATGTGCTGGATGGGCGTGTGGAGAGCTGCACCATTGGCTGTCTTGTCCTGAAATGCTTCAGTACAGCTGAGTTCGGCATGAAAATTAGAAAAATATGTTTCTGAAAGGGATGGGATGCAGGGAGCATCCTTATCCCGAGTGAAGTGCCTGGAGGATCCCATTCCCTGATCTACGTCTGCATGCATTGAGCCATGTGTAGCCCAACCTGCCCACATCCTTGCTTTGTGCCGAACTTGTGCTCAGCAGCACCGGGCTTTCTGCCATTGGGACCACAGATCCCAACACTGAGGCTGGGCCGTGGCCAGGGACTTGCATGCAATCAGTGTGTTACCACCCCTCAGCCCTGCTGCTGGCTGGGTTCCCTGGGATTCCACTGGGAAATCACAGGCGCATGGGCAGAAATCCCCATCCCAGTGCCATGGGGAATGATGGGTGTTCAGGAAATGGGGGACTGTGGGTGTGTGGGGGAGTGCAGCAAGGGATGAAGGTATGAGGGCGGGGGTGAGGAGGGGGATGGAGGTGTTTGGAGAGGAATGAGGGTCTAGCACGGGGATAAGGGTATGAGGATAAGGATGAAAGTATTTTGGAAGGGATGAAGATGTTTGGAGGGGGATGAGGGGGTGAGGATGAAGGGGAGGATGAGGAAAAGGATGAAAGTATTTGGAAGTGGATGAAAGTGTTTGGAGGAAGATGAGAATATGAGGATGGCAATGACGAGGAAGAGAATGGGGATGAAGGTGTTTGGAGAGAGATGAGGGTCTAGGGTGGGATAAAGATATGAGAGCAAGGAAAAATATGAAGATGTGTGGAGGAGGATGAAGGTGTGAGGATGGGATGAAGGTATTTGGGAGGGGATGAAGGTATTTGTGAGGGGATGAAGGTGTTTGCAGAAAGACGAGGGTGTGAGGATGAGGAGGGGGAGGAGGAGGATGAAGGTGTGTGGCACAGCATAGGGGTGTGTGGAGGGTGATAGAAGTGTAGGGGAAGGGGTGAAGGTGTGTGCAGGGGGTGAAGGTGTTTATGGGATGAAGATGTGCAGGGAGGAATAGGGTTTGCGGGAGGCGAGCACAGGAAGATGAGGATGTGCCCAGAGGGCAATGAAGGCTGGCACAGGGCAAAAGCACACCAAGCTGCGGGAGGAGGAGAAGGATGAAGGCTCCAAGAAGTCCCTCCCGGAGCCGGGGCCGCGCTGCCCCTTCTTCCCGCAGTGCTGTGCTCCGGGAGGGCCGAACCCCTCCGTGTCCCCGCACCGCGACGGGACCGGGGATCGGGGATCAGACATGGGACCCGACGGGGCGGGAGTACTCGGGAGGAGGGAGGGAAGAGCACCGGGAAAGGAGGGAGGGAGGAAGGCCGGGGGAGGAGGGTCGGCCCTGCCCCTCCGCCTCCTGATTGACTCCCAACTTTCTGCTCCTCCCTTGCATAAACTTTCCCGTCCCTGAGCCTGGTTCCCTGTGCGGGCTCCAGAGCTTGCGGCGCTCTCGCATTCCTACCGCCCTCCCCCGGCCCATCCCCGGCACCGGCTCCGGTCCCGGTTCGGTCCCGGTCCGCTCCCGGCTCCCGTGGCCGGCCCAGCCCTCCGGAGCACGGAGCAGGTAAGCGCCGTCGGGAAGAGATCCCAACCCCCCCTTCCTCCTCCTCCTCCTTCTCCTCCACCTCCTGCGCTCCTTCCTCTCGGCCCGCAGCACTCCTCCGCCTGCACCGAGCCCGGGAGGGGCGGCTCCGGCCCCATAGGATGGCGGTGGGGAACTGGGGGGGAGGGGTAGGTGAACAGAGGGGCCAGGCTGCCCCCCGACCCACCAGGAGCCGGGGGAGGGCTCGGCTTGAGGAGCCTCTCCGTGCGCTCCTCCGGGCCGCTCCGTGCTCTCCCCAGACGGCTCTGCAGTGCCCCCAGCCCACTCAGTGCCGGGACCCCCCCATCACGCAGCTCCCCCCACCTTCCTTCCCACTTACCGTCCTCCCCCCCGAATCCAACCATTTCCCATTTTCAGCGCTGCGGGACGGCTCATCCCTCCCCGACCCCACTCATCATTTCTCATCCCAAAGGGTTTGCGTCGGGGTGAATCCATGTTTTTTCCCCTTCGCGCTGTGCATCCCTGGATTACATATAGGGTTACAAAGGGGCCTTGTGTGCAATAGGGCCCATACGTCGGAGCGGGCGTTACATAAAGAGCCCTGGCACAATGCCCACCCCACTATGCCCACCCCAAAGGCAGTGGGGTCGCGGGGCACGGGGACGTGTCACGTTACATGTGTGTCACACACATGACCATGCGCTGAGTGTATGCTAAACACTTTGTGCCTCGTCATAGGGGCATATTGCTAACGAGTCAGCGATTAGGTGTATAATTTTCGGCAGTGTGTCATCTTTATTATTATTATTATTTTATTTTTGCACTCTCATTTGGTTTTGTTTTGTTTTGTTTTTTCACTTCTCCCCTTCAGAAGAAAAATAACGTCCAGCCCAAAAGCACCCAACAAGAAGTCATTTTTAGGGAGAAAACTGCTGGGAATGGTGAAGCGTGCACTGCATGTTGCTGGTCCACACTGGGGCAGAGGGTCTGGGATTTTTCTGGGGGCCATGGCCAGCTAGGCCAGGCGACAGTGTCGCAGCAAAGCGCTAATCTCTGTGTCAGGCGCACTGGGGTATTTTGGGCTCCAGCGTCCTCTGCCCCCTCCTATCGCTTTCCAACGTGTGCACCGTGAGTCAGGGCTTTGTGCTGCCTGGGGGCACTGTGTGTTTGCTGGGGGGCTGTGGGGTGCAGTGAGCCCCACTTTGTGCTGTCACATCTGGAGCTCTGTTGGCCCCAAAGCTCTTCCCAGCCATTGGATTTTGGGGTGGTTTTCCCATGAGTGGTTCCCCAAATGAGGCGTGAGGAGTCTCGCTGAGGTCACCAGGGATGGCCCCGTTGGTGGGCAGGTGGCAGCTGCTCCCTGATGTAGGGGACATAAGTGTCCCATTGGGGTACAAAGTTTTGGGTTTGGGCATGCTTGAGTCTATGCAGGGATCTGCCCTCCTCAGCGGGGATGGGACATTGAATGGAGATGGGAGAATGAGGGGACCTTCCCATCCTTGCAGAACCTCAGGCACAGCTTGGGGCCGGGCTTGCCCCCAGGCCTGGCACAGCAGCAGCTTTTCTAACAAAAATAACCCTTTGGGAGCGGCCACATTGCATAACGGCGCTGCAGGGACTCAGCCAGGCTGGGCTGAGAGTGCAGAGCATGGGGATGGTTTGACCATGGCACTACAGGGGACAAAAGAGGTTCTGCACAGGGACCAACCTTCTCAGCCCATATCCCCCTCATGTCTTGCAAAACCCCTTCGGTCCTCCAGGCCCATCCGTAGCCCACAGTAGAAGAACTCACTTGCGTTTCCCATGACATACGGTCACTATTTATCATGATACCGGAAACAGCACCGTCTTTAATAGCCGTTTAACCCTTTGTTTGCTGTGAGAGCAGGACTAGGAGCATCTTGGTGTGTTATGGAGACGCGGGGGGTTGCTGTGTTCACTGGCTATAATTAACATATGAAACATCACAGAGCTGCACCATTCCCATCCAACGTACCAAGTGTGACAAAGGGTGAGATTGGGATGGGGAGAAATGGACAATGTTGGGCTTTCTGTGGGAAAATGGGGCTTTCTGCCTTTTCTCCCATCTGTGGGAGTAGGGGCAGAGATGGATAGCAGAAAATGGGCTGTGGAACCATTCCCAAGGTTTGTGGGTTTGTGCTCACAGAGGTGGGAGAGACACTATCTGAAGTATTGTGATCCTCTTGTACTTAAACCACCAAGGTGGTCCAAGGCTGGAAGGGACTCTCATGGTTTCTATGCATTGGCCCAACCTTGGGTGCTGCTGGGAAATATCCTTTTTCTGGGGTCGGTGCCCAGGTCAGGCACTGGGAGTGTGCCAGGCTGGCCAAGCCCAAGCACCTGTGTTGTGGTTGGGGACAGCACCTGAAGTGTGTGGGCGTTCGTTATTGCCACCGTCACGTGCCGTGTTATGAAATGTTTTTTTGGAGGGAGGGAGGGAGGTAATGATGGGGTGAGCCGTCGGGGCTGTGCCCCATGCCAGCCTGCAGCGGGCACACGGCGATACGGTGCGGGTTTGGACAGGTTGCTGGGGCGGTGGTTTTACCCATTTGGGAAATGGGCGCAGTGGCTTTACGGTCATCCCATCCAACCTCTACCCATCCTATCCTACCCACTGACCATGTCCCTTGCTGCCACATCTCCATGGTTCGGAACACCTTCAGGGACAGTGATCCCACCACTCCCAGAGGCCTTGGCCACTTGTGTCCCAGCAGCTCTATGCCTCAGTTTCCCCACCTGGGTTGGGAAACGGAGTGCTGCCGGGGCTCTGGGCTCCTCGCCCAGGAGCGCCAAGCCATATTATTTCCCCATGACTGTCTCCTCCTCGCTCCTCATCAAATTAAATCCAGCTGTTCACAATAGCCACTAACTTCTCTCCGGAAGATGTTCAAAGTTTACAGCTGCACTGTGCATGGAGGATGGGCTGCGGGCCTGTGCCAGCTCCCCACTGCCCTCCCCCAGCTGCCATCTCCTGTGTGCACACAACTAATGCAAGCTGCTGTGCACACAACTAATGCAAACGTTGGGTTTGAGGATGATGATGATGGTGATACGAGCTTCATCCCTCTCAAGGTGAAGGCACTGGGCAGGACCCTGTGCCTCCCTCCCTAATGGGAATGGACTTCCCCCATGACTTCCAACAGGGACAATAGATGGGTTGGGCAGTACCAAGAGAGATTGGACAGAGAGTGGTGCTCTGCCATGGACATGCTTCGCTCACCCGCTTTGCTTGTCTGAGGTAGCAGCATGCAGTGAGGTGATGCTGAGCCTAACTATCCCTTTCTGGGAATAAATTGGTACAGCACTCAGTGCTGCGCTGTTTTTGCATGGCCTTGGTCTGTAGGCTGTCCCAAGTGGGTTGGTGACATTGGAGACCTCATAGCAGTGACCCCACTGTCCCTAGCTTAGGAAATCAGGCTGGAAAGGTTGCATTCTGCAAGCCTTCCTGTGACCCTGCAAGCCTTTTCCTATGAGTTTGGGGGGTTGGCTGTTGCCCTCTTTGCTGCATGCCCCTTGGTTTCCTGTTCTGTGCAGTGTTGTGCTCACCCCACAGTGTTGGTGGAGGCAGCAGTGCAGCTGCTCCAGGGTAGGGTTGGGTTTCTTGGGGGCGGAGGTGACTGGGAAGGGGGCGAGTGTGAAATGCACTGAAGCCTTCCTCCTCCTTTTCCTCCTGCTCTTCCTCCTCCTCCTCTTCACCCAGCAGTCTCCATCCCTAAGAAGATGTTCTCCCTGCAGTGGGGTCAGCAGCACCCAAACCTCCTCCTCCATGGGAGGAGTGTATCCTGAGGGGGACCTCTCCCACCCAGCAAGAGGACATTGCCCCATGTGTGTGCACAGAGTGCACACAGTGCCCATGTGTGTGCACAGAGCCCTGGTACCCACAGCTCTCCCTTGCCCATGGTGGCAATGGGTCTTGGGGTCCTGGACCAGTGGCCACCCTGAGCTAAATGTCCCCATGCATACCAGGATGGGCACATTTTGGGGTGGGAGCAAAGCAAATTCCTTCATATGTTGTCCCGTCCATGTTCCGGGTCACCTGGTGCTGTGGATGTCACGGGGTGGCCATGGTGGTGGCCCGTCTTCAACCCCAACCCTGTTGTTTTCATTGCTCTCGTTTCATAACACAGAGAGTAATTAATGCCGTCAAAGCTTTCTATTTATGACCTGACGGGTGCAACGCCCTGGCTGGGCAGGGTAATTGGGGCAAGGAGGGACAGAGGATGGAGTACAGTGTCCATCTGTCCCATGTCCCGGTCCCAGGGCCTTGGGTGAAACCAGCGTAGGTCCTCCAGCAGCCAAAAACCAGTGTGGTTGGGGATGGAGGAAGAGGAGGAGATAGAGGACTCTTCTGCGTGCCAGCAAGGAGCATCTTACCTGATGCACCATGAGCTTCACCTGGGTTTTGTCCCTTGACCATGCCCTAATTTTCCAGGGACACATCAATGAGATTTCCCCATCATTTGCCCTCATGATTTGAAATGGAGCATCCTTGACTAGTGCAGTGATGGCAGCTTTTTGGGGAACTGTGCTGAGGCCTGCAGAGTGGGTTCACAGTGGGTACCCCATAGATGGGCACCTTATGGTTGGGTGCCCCACAGATGAGCATCCCATGATCGGATGGCCCTGGTGGCACCACAGACCCCGGTGGGACACTGCCACGTGGCCTCCTGTGGTTTCCCTGCTCTGATTGCTTCCTGAGCCGTCTGCCAAACCGGAAGGGACAGGAAGCGATAGAGGAAAGGAAATTAGTCAGGCTGCTCTGTAGGGATACTGGGGGCTCGGCTGCTTCCATGCCCCCAGCCCATGCAGGAATGCCCAGGGGCCTTGATGTCCCATGGGGTTATTGGTGGCCCCGTGGCATAGCCCTGGGTGGAAGGGAGCAGGGGAATCCCACAGTGCAGCCCCAGAGCTGCTGGGAGGAAGAGAGTGGGGTGAGCAAAGCTGTGCCACCTCCAGCCCCAGTGCCCACAAAGGGTCATTGCACAGTGAGCATCATGGTTTGGTGTGCAGCATGGGATATCGGTGAACAGGGGAACATCTTCCCATTGCTGGGGTCTTCTTATGAGACCGTGGGTTGTTGAAACATTGGTCATGTTCTCGCTGCAGGTGGTGCTCCCCTGCTCCACTCCCAGCCCCATGGAATGTGTCATGGTGTGGGTGACCCTGTGCTCCTCTCATCATCGAGGAGCATATGGACATTGCCTACAGACTGTCTTCTGGTGTCTGGGTCGGCTCTTGCATTGCACCCAATGCAATGGGGCTTCTGCTTTGGGGTTTATTGGCTCGGGGTTATGCAGAGCCAAAGGGGGCAGCCCCTCTTGGCACCCCTGGTGTCCTCCTCGGGGCACATCACAGCCATTCTGCCTCAGTGTCTGAGCAGCACAGCCCAACGGAGCGATTCCCTCTGTGACACAAATGGTGATGATCCTGTGTTTCCCCCCCACCCCTCCCCACCAAGTGTCAGCACCGCAGCAGTTGCTGTGCAGGTGAGGCTGCGCCCGCCCTGATGCCTGCCCCAACTTGTTGCTGAACTTTTATCCTTTTGCTATGGGGTCCAGGCAGGGAGGGCTGGCTTGCCCCCATCCCTTGTGCAGGGAGGGAGTAAGGTGGTGGCTGTAGCCCTTTGTGCTGCATCTGCTTGTGCTCAACTGTGTGTGTCCCCAGTGTGGAGTCCTGGGGCTGCTCCCCATGGAGTTGGGGAAGCTCGATGTGAGCAGGGAGCAGAGCCACCTCGATGCCACCAGGAGGGCAGGGATGGCTGTGGCAAGCAAGGAGCAAGATGAGGGCGGCGCTGGTCCCTGTGTCATGATGATAGCCACCATAGGATGGCATCTACCTCCATCCATTCTCTCTTGTTTTGGGCAGGCCCCAAATCCTGGCTTTCTGCTCCACACAATTGGGATGTGGGACTGGAGTGATGTGTGGTGTGGGGGAATGGTTTTGGGGCTAAGCATGCTGGGGAGAAGAGTATGCACCTTGCCCCCAAGCTCAGTAGCTCTGCTGGGGATGAGGTGCCATTCCATGCTCCCCATTCTATCCCCATGCTCCCAGCCACATCCCTGTGCTCCCAGCCCCACGCATACTGTGCCCCACAATCCTTACCCCATCAGGTTCTGCTGCTCTTGCCCCCGCTGTGCACTGCCAGCACTCTGCTCCTGACCTGGGCATTTGGGCACTGCCACTGTGTCCTAAATATTTTCATTCCCCAATCTGTGCACCCGCTCTTTGTAACCCCTTGGGCAAAGCTTTTGATGCCACAGGTTTTGGCAGGGATTTCTCAGAGTTTTAGGACTGAGGACCCTCACCTTGGCGAGCCCTTGAGCTGCACTGGGGCCAAGCTTGGGGTGAGCATGCAGCCCACAGGAATGCCACATCTGTCTCCATCTCCCAGTTTCACCTTGGCCATGCCCTGGTGGCCCCCTCCATGCCCACTGTGAGCACCCATCCTGCACCCTCCTGGTACCCCATGGTTGCCATGGTGCAACAAGCATCCCTTTGTCGTGTGGCTGTGAACGTCTCTGCTAAGGTGCCAGGGTCCCTGTGGGAGGGAGGCTCAGTCCCTGTCCCAAGCAGAAGCCAGGAGGAGGGACACACTCAGATGTTATTATTCCTGCAGCTCCAGTCCCTCCCAGCCTTGATCAGGTCGGGCAGGCTGGTACCCAGGTCCAGCCATGCTGGTTTCCTAATTGCTTTTCTGGTTGCTGTTTTGTAAGGTTGGGTGGAGCGCTGTGCTCGGCCCCTTACGTCAAAGCTGTGACTTGCTGCCTTTCTGCACCCTCCCTCCAGGAAATAAAATCCCTTGGCCTAGCCAAAAGCAGGTTTGATGGAGGAGGAGCTGTTTCCTCGCACCTTGGCCAGGGCCCCGCTTCGCCCTCCTCCTCCCTCTGTTTTTTCCCTGCTTCCCTGAATGGGCTGCATTGGGATTTCCCTGCTGGGGAAGGAGGCAGTGAGGTGGGAGGGATTTGGGGGGGCTGTAAGGAGCTGGGAGCTCTTAGAGAAGGGGTTGGTGACATGTGCCACTTAATCACCATGTGGCAGTGGTACCACTAGCTCTATGGCTCCCCACAGCCTCCATTGCCACAGGCTGTGGCACCCTGCAAAACCCCTGCAACCCAATTCTCAGGTCTGTCCCTCCTGGCACCCAAACCCCATGAGTGGGATTCCACTGCAGAGGGGGGGATCTCACATTACTGGGGGAGGCTTCAGGGCTATGGGGTCTGGGTGCTGTGGGGTCTGCAGGGGTTCTCCTCAGCACCATTATGGGGTTTACATGGGAACAAGGTTCCATTGGGCTGTATGGGGTGGGCTCAGTCCCATGTATCAATCCATAGGCAGGCCCCCTGCATTCTGGCCGTCCCTCTCCCATCCCTGCACCCACTGTGGAGTTTGCATATTGACAAGATCCTGGGGAGGCTGCATGGGGTGGGCGCTGGGGGGCTCAGCCCTATGTGCCAGCCCCCCTCCATCATCCATCCCTCTCCCATTCCCATCGGTCACACACAAAGCCCCTCCCCCCAGCCTATGCAGCCCCCCAGGGCTGTGCTCAGCGTGGGGTGCAGAGTGGTGCAGCCCGCTGCCGCCATCCCTCCCCTGGCTGCCGGCTCCATCCTGCAATCCAGTTCTCCTTATTTGGCCACAGTGTTCGGCAAGAGGGGGAGCGATGGGGGGGGGTGGGGGGGACGTTGGAATGGGGGGAAGCAGGCAAGGGGGGGAGCAGAGGGACCGACGTCACAGAGAGGGTGGTGGCAAAGAGGGAGGGGGGGGGAAAAGTTTCTTTTTTTATTAAAAAAATTAAAAAAAAAAAAACACAACACAACACAAAGCAGCCTGGGCGCGTGCCCGAGCCAGCGAGTTGCTGCAGTTCCTTTAAAAGGAGATGTCTGCGCGCTGAGACCTTTGCACGCTCCCACCCCAAACGGGAAGCGTAGCGCTGCACAGCAAGACACCTCCAAACAGAATCCAGTGCTGCTCTGCAAAACTGTGCAGGAGAGCAGGAAAGCATTCTTGGGGCACCTGGTTTGTCAAATCCCCTCCCCACCTTTTGGGGGCTCAGGTCCCCAAATGTCATCTTGTTCCCCTTGGACACACATCATGCCCATGTGTGCTCTGTGTGTGCACTATGCGTCCGAGTGCTTTGTGTGTAGTGCAGCATATGGGCTGTTCCCAAGTGATATTTGGGATGGGCATCTGGTGGCTTTGCTCTGCTGGACTGGGGGTGCAGTGTTGAGGCTCACAGGTCCCCAGGTGTCAATGTGTGCCCAAGTGCTCTGTATGGGCACAATATGCCCAAATGCTTTGTGTGTAGTGCAGCACATGGTTGTTCCCAAGTGATGTTTGGGGTGAGCATGTGGTGGCTTTGCTCTGCAGGATTTGGGGTGTTAATGGCAAACGTGGCCATGTCCCCAAGGCAGAACTATGTGCATGCTTGGCACTGGAGTGCTCTTCTAGTGCAGTGCCAGTATTGGGAATGTACTGGGACCATGCTGTCACCTGCGACTCCAACATGGCCATGACAGTTGTGGCCAAGTCTAAGGGGTGTCTCTTTGTTCTCGCAGGTTGCCGCGTGTCCGTGGGGGCTCGGGCTGAGAGCCCAGAGCAGCCAGCACCATAGCGTCCAACAGCTGGAACGCCAGCAGCAGCCCCGGAGAGGGGCGGGAAGATGGCCAGGACGGGATGGACAAGAGCCTGGACAACGATGCCGAGGGAGTATGGAGCCCGGACATCGAGCAGAGCTTCCAGGAGGCTCTGGCAATCTACCCCCCCTGTGGCCGGCGGAAAATCATCCTCTCGGATGAAGGCAAGATGTACGGTGAGTGCACACATGGGATGGGTTGGGCACTGTGTGTGTCACTGTGCACTGGGATGGGGCTGGTTCTGAGCCCTGAACCCATCTGGGGTTCAACCCAGAGCACCCCAACTTCAAAAGTTCTTTCCCAAGCTGTGTGGCTTTGGGTACCAGAGGGCAGTGACCCGTGTCCCCATGGTGTTGTCACAGCCATCTCCTCCCTCCTGCTCTCAATGTGCTGGACTGACAGGTTTGGTGGAGCCGTGGGGCAGGGAGTGGGCATGGCCCTGTCTCACACCACTCCCTGTAGTGTCCTGAACCAGGGAGTGCTCCAAGAGGATGGTGGCTGTGGCCCCCAGCCCACTCCAAGCCACCTGTTCTGCATCAGGTGACATTGCCCCGTTTGTGAAATGCGTTTTGCTTGGGCTCAGCCTTGTTTCTCCTGCAGCAGGAAGGATGAGGATGGGTGATGAAGTCGGGGGTGCACAGCGCCACAAGGAGAGGACAAAGGTGTGTGTCCCCATCTGTGCCACAGTGGGGCTGTCCCTTCCTCTCTCTCTCCCACGATGTCATCCCCCAGACTGGTGACTTCAGATCTCCTTCTTATGGGACACAGTGCCACACTGCTATCCCTGGTGGTGACCTCCAAACACACCAGTGACAACGCCATCACCATCCAATGGCTCATCCACCCATGGCACAGAGGGCACTGGGTAACTGGTACACACCATCCCATCCCCATTCCAGTGCCACCGTGGGGCACCCTGGTCAGGGCTGGTGGCTGAAAGGCAGCACAGGGCTTCCTGAGCGGGCGCATTTTTTGGATTTCTCCTGGAATAGCTGAAGTGCCGCTGGGAGTCTGGCCCTTCGCAGCACACCCGGGCGCAGACCGGTTTTTCCAGCCTTTCAGAGCCATCTGGCAGCTGTTTAAAGAGGCAGTGGCCCCCACCTCCCATCACACACCCAGAGGGCTCTGCATATAGGGGTTGGGGGTGGCATTGCAGAGGGCTTTTCTCTCAGAAGTGCCTTTGGAAAGTGGGTTCAGAACAAACCCATTGGAGAGCAGTGGGGTTACACTGGAGCCGCGCATCCCCTCATGACAGCAATACTTTGGGACCCCCCTGGAGCACCCAAAGGATGTGTGGCTTTGGGCATTGCAAAGGGGGAAGGCAGGGTCTGAAACATACCCATAGGGAGAGCGATTGGGTCACACTGGGGCTATACATCTCCAGGTGGCACTGATTTGGGGACCCCCTTGGAGCACCCAAATAGGAGGATGAGTGGCTTTGCTTAGTACTGTGCTGACTCAGGGGATGGTGCCAGTGTCCCATGGAAACGGGGTGTGGGATGTGCACGTGCCCCAGGAGCAGGTGGGAGCATGGGGTGGGCTGGTCATGCTTGCACCGCTCTTTGGCCGCCGGCGTGTCCCACTGGGTTATTTTTAACAGAGCTGTCCAACTGGTTGACGTGGTGGTGTCAGGGGAGAGGAATTTGGGGAATGTGGTAATTTGGAGGAGGATGTGCCCTCACGAGGGAATGGCATGGCTCCGAGTGAATCACAAGAACACAGCCATGGGCACCCAAATGGGTGCAGGTGGTGCTGCCAGGATGTCGGATGAGGCAGAGGTGTGGGGAGATGTCCAGAGCTGGGCATCATGTTGGGTGCATCACTGCAACCAGGTTTCATTTCCCCTATTTGTTTCCACACTGCTGAGCCTGGGGATGGGACATGGGAACGGGCTGCATGCAGCCAAAGTGCTGAAGGACCCACACCTAACACCCCACGGTCACAGGCATTGCTGCATCCTGAGGCATCACATCACCAGTGCACCTGTGGGTGCTGGACAGGATGAGGGATGTGTGCATGGAGCACCCTTGGGTGCTGAGCAGAAAGAGGAGGGGTGCATGGGGCACCCTTGAGTGCTGGGCAGGATGAGGCAAGGATTGGTGCATGGTGCCATGGCTCCTTCTAAGCCAGTGTTTTGGCAACCAAGAGCAAGTGAGCCCTGGTCATTAGGAGCTGCTCATTAATTAAAAGGCAGAAGAAGGAGTGATGTCTGCACTACCATTTTGGGGTTGCCATGGGGTTGCACCGGGGCACCCATGGCTGCTGCACAGAGGACAGGACTGAACACAGGGACCCTTCTCTGTGCCCACATTTCCAATGGACCCATGGTGACCCCCCCATGGCCACCACCCCCTGCCTACCGCAGCCACCCCATAGCACCTGGCACTGTCAGTCCTCATGTGTCCCCTCTCTCCCCACCCCCCCACCCCTCCCAGTTGCTCTCGAGCTGCCCAGGGTAGGGTGGTGGGGATTTTTTTATTTTATTTTATTTTTATTTATTTATTTATTTTTAAAGCCGAAACCCTCTCCAAGGGCATTTCGACAAGTTCCAACCACCACCATCTGGTCCATTAAAATAAATCTGGCGTGCCTTGCCGCCCCCGTGCGCGGGGGGTGAGGCATTGGGGGGGAACAGGGCCGGGTTGAAGAATGCTCCCAGCTGCTCTGACGTTGGAGCACAGATTGGCCACAGCTGGCCCTGTAAATGTGGTGCAAAAGCACTTCTGCTTCGAATTAAGCTCAGGACGTTAGGAAATACTGGAGGGGCAGCTTGGTGTGTTGGGGGAAGCTCAGCGCTCAGGGGGCACCTAGGACCCATGTACAGAATGGGGTTGCGCTCAAAGGACTGCCCCATTGGGATGGCTTTAGGGGATCTGTGGTCAGCCCATGTTGGGGGCACTGCTGTAGTGGGGGGTACCGGTGGATATCACCCCCTAACCCCTAATCCGTGCTCCATGGTGCTGGGGGTGGGGAACACAACGGATGTTCCCGTGTGTTCGCTGGGGGTTGGCCACTCCGTTGTCCCCATGGGCCATCCCAGCGTCTCCTGGGGGCCACACAGCTGTCCTGGCAGCGCCATCTCCTGGCAGAGCATCCTCCCTTGTTACAGACCAGTGTCCCCTCGTCTCATGCTGTCCCCTTCTCCCTGCTGTGCCCGGACTGACGATGCACATCCCTGCAGGTCGCAACGAATTGATTGCGCGCTACATCAAGTTGAGGACAGGGAAGACACGGACAAGGAAGCAGGTGAGGCTGGCACTCTGCTATTATTGAGGGTGCTTTTATCTGGGCTCTGGGGATGGGGTGCCCAGAGGGGTCTGGCTGTGCCATGCATCTGTACTTTCTCCTCACTGGGACCATTTCTCCATAACAGCACTGGAGCTGCAGCTCTTGTGCATTGCCGAGCATTGCTCTTTCTTTCCACCTGGAGCCAGAGGTTGTCCCCATGTCCCAAACCCTCCTTGTCGGGTTGTGTGCCTTGTGTGGCATACAGTGCGCTTGAAGGCATTCTGAGGGCTGAGTCCCAGGTGTGCCTACTGCAGCCAGGGGACAGCAGTGTCGCAATGGTCCCCGGAGTAACATGGAGCCTGGCAGTGGCAGCATTGGGGATGGCAGCAGGGCTGGGAAACATGGCTTTCCTCTTCTGCTTGCACAGTGCTTGCGGCCTTCTGTGCACTGTGCCCACTTAGAACATACACATGGCTCATCTCTGCCCACTGTGCATCCTCATGGATGTGGTGATTTTCCCCAAGGGGACATGGGACAGAGAGGGTTGGGGTGACCCATACTGCGGTGGCCCCATGCCACTGTTCCTGTGTAGGATGGATCCTGGTATGCTATGGGGAAACTCCTCTGAGACTGATGCTGGAGGAGAGGACTGTGGTCCAGCCACAGCCACTGCATTCTTTGTTTCGGGCTTTGAGCCTTGTGTTTCACCTTTATGCTGGGTATCTCTGATTGTAAGCATCTCTCTTGGATTTCCTTCCATCGAGAGAAGGAGAGGGCACAGAGTGAAAGCAATGCTCTGGGGGTATCAGTGTATGTGACGTTGTCCCCTCCATGCCTTTGTTGTCTGAGAGAGTTGGGTGCTGGTGCTGAAGTCGCTCCCCCCAAAGTGAGCCCTACTGGGAGCAGAGACATGCACTCAGGATCTGAAAATCAGCCCCATCCTGCGCTTGGAGCGCTCTGCACAAAAGAAAACCTCTTCTTGAATTTCCCACCTGCAGTGTGTACTCACAGGTGTGGGGCTGTCTTTTTGGGAAGCTCTGACAGATGGTAAACACTGACCCACCACCTTCTCCCCATGGATTCCACTCCCTTCCCCCCAACTTTCCTCCCTTCAGCTCATGGCAACTGCTGCAAGTGCTGCAGGACCACGAACATCTCCTGGAGCATTCTGGATCTACATGCCCCATTTTTCCCATACACTTTCCCCTGGGGCAGTGCAGGGACATGTCTTCACGCTCTGTGTTTTCCTTTCTAACGGCATGGTGGGCACTAGGTGTCCAGCCACATCCAGGTTCTAGCTCGGAAGAAGGTGCGGGAGTACCAGGTTGGCATCAAGGTACGTTGGCACCCGTGCCCAGGTGTCCTCGGCGGTGTCTCTCTGAGCATGGGCAGCCCCTCTCCTTCCTCTCTTTTCCTCTGGTTGACGGCTCTGCTGTTCCCCTCTCCTGCTCTCTCTCTGCAGGTCTCTAGCCACTTGCAGGTTCTTGCCCGACGGAAATCTCGGGAGATTCAGTCCAAGCTGAAGGTATGCGCCCGCTTCCCTCCTGCCTGCTGACCACTAACACTCTCCACTCTCTAGTGTGCCGCTTCTTCTCCTTTTGATGGCTTTTTTTTTGCTTCCCTCCTCCCTTTGCTCCTGGAACTGATGGATTGGAGTGGCTGCAAGGGCTGCGCGATCCCTCTTCTCTCCCAAAAATGTGGAGGTATCCATGGTTTCCTCTCCGCCCCCTGACCTGGACCACATGGAATTGGGTTTACATCCTCCCCTTGTGATACACTCTGCTCTTTTGGGCATCTCCCAGTGCAACTGGCAACAAAGCAAAACCCAAAGGGTTCCCCCAGACTTGGGATGGTCACAAGGATTGTCTCCCCCTGTTCTTGTCAGAGGCTAAGACAGCGATGCCCCCAGGCAGTGTCCCCAAGGATGGCACACACCATGTTGTGGGGACAGTGTTCCCAGTGGGGACACAGTGATGGTCCCAGGACAACCCATAGTTCCAGGGGCCAATGGAGCCAAGCTAGGAAAAACTGGATCGCCTGCTGCTGTGGTTGGCTTTCCTTTCCTTCCTTCCTCCTAACTGCAGCCCGACTAACCTGTCCTTAACCATTTCTACTGTTCCTGGTGTTATTTGTTGGGAGGGTAGGAATGGAGGGACACAGCAGGCACTGATATGCCCAAAGGACTGAGCCCTCCTTGGATCGGACCCACCCAGGTGTCCCCACCCAGTGGTCCCCATTGGTGCCCATTGAGGGCATCCCATTTGCACAGCCTGGGCTGCTCCTGGTTCAATCCCCTGAGCTGGATTCAGGCTCATTTGGGGGCCCTGAAAGCTTCTGGCCCCAAGAATACAGCATTCTGTCTCCAGAACTTCTGGGCAAGGTTCACTCAGTTCCCAAAACATCACCACCATTTGGGTCTGAGTGCTCCTGCACTGGGGCTGGCAGTGGGGCCTCATTCCAGGATTACCACACTGTGCCCTCTGAAAGCACTGAGCAGGTTTGGCAGACCCCAGTGCCACAAGGACCATCCGCCATCATCCCTAGCTGTTTGCTGGGAGGGGACCCCAAATGATTTGGGTTGTACACCAGACCCCAAGCCCAGGAGAGGGGACAGCTGGTGGAGTAGAATGAATGACAACAGAAAACTTTGCAAAAAGTAATTTTAAAAGGTATTACTGGATGAGTGGGGGGGCTGCAGGCTCCAGCCCCAGCCATGCTTCAGGGCTGACCAAGAGCAATGCTCTGAAGCAGTGAAATGTGAATGTAGAGCATCCTTTCACATCCATTCCTGGAGGCAAATCTGGGGCCTTAAGACAAACTCTCATCCCGCTGAGTCAGAACTTCCATCCATCAGCAAGTGGTGACTTCTTTAAGGTGCAGTCATATTCTTTGGGTTTGTGCTGCCGGTGTGTTCCTGCACACGGAGCTCAGCATTCCCTCAAACCCTATTTATCTCACATCTGCTGTGTCCCAGTGGGAATAAATGGGGCCATAGAGCCCTGAGCGGTGTGAGGAGGGGAGTGAAGAACTGGCTTGTACACTTCCCCCTGCAGATGGGGTGCCTGCTGCCGTCAGCTTCTGCCCTCAAAATGAGAGGAAAGATGGGGAAAATGGATTTCTTGAAGGAGTCTGGTTCTCACCTTCTCACTGGGGCGAGCAGGATTTAAAGGGTATTACAAAGCAGTGAAGGCAGGGGTCCCCACCACCAGGATGGCTGGGGAGTCAGTCCCAAAACGAGGCTGTGGTGGCAAAGTGGGGAGGTGCAGGGATGTACTCAAGATCCCCTTGGCTCTAACCATGTCTTTTCCTTTCTTTTGCGGACAGGCCATGAACTTGGTAAGTTGAGCTCTGATGCTGTGACTACCCCATTGCATTTTGCTAAAACCCTTTGTGCCCCCAGGGAGGCAGTGAGGACACCTCCTAGACCTGGTAGCTCCCACCTGGAGGGGTGGTACAGCATGTGTGGGGAGAGAAGGTGGGGGCGGGGGGGAGGACATTTGCACAGTGATAGGGTTCATTACCTTGTGTATTTTTGGTATTGGTTGCATTAACTATGTCCCCCCCATCCTGATCTCTTGGTTGCACAACACCTCCACACTTCGCTAAACTTCTGGGGAGGTGGGGGCAGCCCACCCGAAGCCCTGCATAATTCCCATTTCCTCTCTTTCCCCCAAAAAGGACCAAGTCTCCAAAGACAAGGCTCTGCAGAGCATGGCGTCCATGTCCTCCGCTCAGATTGTGTCGGCCAGCGTCCTACAGAACAAGCTCAGCCCCCCCCCTCCTCTTCCTCAGGCCGTCTTCTCTGCTGCCCCTAGGGTGAGAACAGCTCTGTGCCCACAGTCCCATGCTTGGGGTGGGGGGAAAGAACCCATACATGGCCCTGGAGGAGTCACAGCCTCTTGGCTGCATTGTGGAAAGGGCACTCTGGAGGTTGCAGATGGGTCTGGGGGTGTCAAGGGGTGCTGACTGTGTTCTCTCTGCTCTTCCCCAGTTTTGGAGTGGGCCAATCCCAGGGCAGCCTGGACCCTCTCAGGAGTAAGTACAAGCCCCCATGCCAACCAGCCCCGCCATGGGACCCAACTTTGTTAACCTAATGAGGCACTTTTTGTTTTTCAGCATTAAACCATTTGCACAACCAGCTTACCCCATCCAGCCACCCATGCCTCCATCACTAGCCAGTAAGTGCCGTCCTTCCTGGGGGTATCACTTGGTACCTCACAACTGTGCTGGGGATGCAGCTTTTTGTCCTCTCCATGGTGCCACCCAATGTTGCCAGCCACCCTGGGGCCATGCTCACAGCTTTTTGTCCCTATACTTTTTGTCCCTATGCTATATAGCAATGTCACCCATCCAAGGTCCCCATCCCAGCCTCCTGAGGTGAAAACTTGGGTTTAAACCCAGCTCCAAACCCTACAGTGAGCAGGTCCCTGCTGTCCCCTTTTGGGATAGGGTGCAAATTTCCCACCCCACAGCAAAATGCCCATTCTGGAAAGTTGGAGAGGGGAACACACTGAGGCAAGCAGCATCCTGGTGGTACAAGAGGGGCTCCAACAGTTGACACTGCCCTGTGTCCCCCCCAGGTTATGAACCCTTGGCCCCGCTACCACCAGCTGCCTCAGCCGTGCCGGTCTGGCAGGACCGCACCATCGCCTCTGCCAAGCTGCGGCTCCTTGAGTACTCTGCCTTCATGGAGGTGCCACGGGATGCCGAAACGGTAACACCACCTTCCTCATCCCCTAGACACCTGGCCACCCTCGTCCTCAGTGTCACCCAGCTTTTTCAGCTGACCTCCACCTTGTTTTGACCCCACTTGCCCTTACAGTATAGCAAACACCTCTTCGTGCACATCGGGCAGACGAACCCCTCGTATAGTGACCCGCTGCTGGAGGCTGTGGATATCCGCCAGATCTACGACAAGTTCCCTGAGAAGAAGGGTGGCCTCAAGGAGCTCTATGAGCGTGGGCCCCAGAACTCCTTCTTCCTCGTCAAGTTTTGGGTATGAGGCTGGGAGGATTGACCTCTAGCCCTTAAAGATCACAGAATCATGAAATGGTTGCGTTGGAAGGGTCCTTAAAGATCCTAGAACCATGGAATGGTTGAGTTGAAAGGGACCTTGAAGATCATAGAACCATGGAGTGGTTGGGTTGGGTTGGGTTGGGAGGGACACTAAAGATCATAGCACCATAGAGTGATTGGGTTGGAAGGAACCTTAGCCCCCCCTAGCTGCACCCCTGCCGTGGACTGGGTGCCCCCCAGCAGATCAGGCTGCCCAGGGCTCCATGCATGGCCTTGGGCACCCCCAAGGATGGGGCACCCACAGCTTTTCTGCACAACCCATCTTAGTGTCCTCTTTCCCAAGAACACAATGGCTCATGACAGCACCCCCTCTCTTTTCTCTTCAGGCGGATCTGAACAGCACAATCCAGGATGGGCCAGGGACTTTCTATGGTGTCAGCAGTCAGTACAGCAGCGCAGAGAACATGACCATCACAGTGTCCACCAAGGTGTGCTCCTTTGGGAAGCAGGTTGTGGAGAAGGTGGAGGTGAGTGCTGTGCAGTGTTGGGAGTATTTGGGAATGATGTCCATGCTTTGAGTACTGGGACAGTGTGGGATGGATAAAACCCCAGAAGTGAATGTGGGGCGTATGGGCACAGGCTGTGGTTATCCCACAGTGTCCCTGTTGGCTGCCACATGCATTCCCCATTATTATGTCACCCTCCCGCTGATGCCTGGCTGTCATTGCAGACAGAGTACGCACGGTTGGAGAACAGCCGCTTTGTCTACCGCATCCACCGCTCCCCCATGTGCGAATACATGATCAACTTCATCCACAAACTCAAGCATCTCCCGGAGAAGTACATGATGAACAGCGTCCTGGAGAATTTCACCATCCTGCAGGTACTCACCCTTCCCAGAGCTTTGTGCATGGATCAAATGGTGGGACATGTCATATTGGCTATGCAAATGCTGCATGAGACCTTGCAGACTGCCCAAGTTATGGACACCAAGTGGTGGTGCCACAAATAAAGCAGCTGTGCCTGAGTGCATGCAGCCTACTGGATGGTGGTTAGCAAGCATGGGGTGGTACGCTGAAAGTAGCAGTGCATCCATCCCCAACCCATCCCTGCTGCAGGGAGCACATTCTGATGGTGAAAATGGAGTGGCTGTGCCCAAGGCCGTGCACTCACTCCCTAAACAATGAGGGGGGCAAAGTTTTGGTGGTGCAGATTAGAGCAGCTGTCTCTGATTCTGCACAACCCCCCGAATAGCAGATAGCAAAATCAGTGCAAATAAAGCTGCCATGCCTGAGCCCACACAACACCCCCAATAACAGCATCCACCCCCAGTACACTTACTGATGCCCCTCTGCTTCCCCACAGGTTGTTACCAACAGGGATACCCAGGAAACCCTGCTCTGCATCGCCTTCGTGTTTGAGGTGTCTACCAGCGAGCACGGTGCCCAGCATCATGTCTACAAATTGGTGAAGGACTAGGGGCCCTTGGGATAGGCAGGGGCTTGAGGGACACAGGGACGCGGGGAGGTTGTGCAAAAGTGACGCCTGTTGTGCCCCCCGGCCCCACTGGGAGACATTGGAAGAGAGGAGGAGGAGGAGGAGGAGGAATAAGAAGAAAAGCAATAGCCAAAAAAGACTGACTTGCGATTGCAGATGTTTTCTACTTTAGGAACAGTTTTTAAATAAATAAATATATTAAAAAAAGAAGAAGAAGAAGAAGAAGAATGAGAATGAGAATGAGAATGGAAATGTAGGGAGGAAGGAGAGGAGCCCATGTCCAGCACTGGATGGGGAATGCAGTGGTGCCGATGAACCAGGACCGTGCAGGATGTTGGAGCGGTGGGTGGTGCTGCTTTTGCCTCCCTGTCCAGGTCCCTGCGTGGTGTCACTGAGTCCGTGGTGATATCCATGGAACAGTGGTGTAACCCGGCACTGGGGGTGGTGGTGAGGACATGGAGACATCCCCGTGAGCCCAGGGCAGAGGTGGGATCAGATAGGAGCAGGGCAGGGGTGGTGGCCCTAAGCAGGAGAAATGAACAGGAGAAAAGTTGCATTGAGCCTTGATGAGGATGGGTGTTCCTCATCCTGTCCTGGCAGTATTGGGAGTGGGAGGGCATCAACGACGCAAAGCGTTGTTTAATGGCTTTTTTTTTTTCTTTTTTTTTTTCTTTTTTTTTTTAATTAAAAAGTGCTTTTTAATACTGTGCTCAGAATTGAGCTTCTTCCATCCTGTGCCACTCCACAGTGCCCAGGACCCCCTGCTGTCACCTCTGGTGCTTGTGGCCGGAGCTTACCATGGGGCTCGTGGTCACCACAATTGCTGTGGTGTTTGTGCATACTTCCAGGAATTGCATTCAGGCTTTTCTCCAGCCCCAGCACTCCTCGCTGTGTTTTGCCATGGTGCAGTGGGTTTGCTTGATTTATTTTGCATCTGTACATTTTCCATCTTTTTTTGGCCCATTTTTCTGTTTTGACAGTTCTGATATTGGCTTTTTCTCAGTGGGAAGCAGCCGAGTTGGGAGGATCATGGAGCTGAGCTGTGAATAGGAAGAGGAGGGGATAGAGAGGGGACCGAGATGGGACAGAGGATATGTGGGATGCAAGACTGGGTCTGCTCAGAGGGAATATGGGGCTACAGCCCACAATAACCCAATGCACTGTGCCCAGTTCTGCAGGTTGCAAGGGAGAGCATCCCCAGGAGGGTTGTGCAGGGTGGCATGGAGCAGGGGGCAGGAGAAACACTTTGTCCACCTGGAAGAGGACTGAAGGCAGTGGGAGGTGCAGTGCAGAGTGTTTTGGGATGATGGAGCTGGGTATTGGTGATTGGATGCCGGGTGTGCAGGGACAGCACAGAGCTCAGGAAATGCCCTTTGCTGATGCCATGTGTTGGGGCTCCATCCCAGCAGAGCCACCCCAGTGCCGGATCAAAAGGAAAAAGGGGAAAATCGTGGGGACAGCCTCAGCCCACCCGTCCCAGGCTCTCATATGTAGCATGTTCATTTGTTATTCATGGTTGTGCTGGGGTTTTTTTTTCTTTTTTTTTCTTTCTTTTTTTTTTTTTCACTCACTGATTTAAACTCTGGGAATCCAAGTTCAAACCTCCCACCATCACATGGAGCTCTTCGTTAACTGGACTGCTTTGTGTTCCTTCCATCCCTCCTTCCATCCCTCCGTCTACCTCTCCATCCATCCCTCCCTTTCTCCATCCCTCCCTCCCTCTCTCTATCCCTCCATCCCTCCCTCCTGCCCCAGCTAAGACTCAGCCACAGCCCCAGAGATCCTCCTCGCCCTCCCCATAGCCCCTCTGTTCTCCTCCAATGTATTTATGAATTTCACATGAAGTACTGTTTTATTTTTTTAAAGACTTTGTAAAGCTTTACCAGGGTTACAATCACCATTTTTAGAGCTGTGTCAGTCCACAATGTTAAAAATAATAATAATTTTTTTATGTATTATATTTTTTGTGTATTTTTTTAATCCAGCTGTGATGGGTTGTATCATGTATTTGTTGTGTTTACTGTATCTGTCCAACTTCAGAGAGAGGAGACTGTGGAGCTCCGAGAAAACTATGGTCTGCTGAAAAACCATTAAAATTATTTGTTCTTGTGTTGGCTCAAACAGTTCTGTCGTTCCTTTGGTGTTTATTGTGACAGTGGGGTCTATAGGGCCTGCTATGGTTGGGTTACACTTCCACAATTAACCCAGTGCTGGGATGCATCCTGCAGTGGGTTGCTGTGTTTTGTAGGGTTGAATGAGTGGTGATAGGTTTGTAGAATTGGACGGGTTTACAGGGTTGGTAATGAGTAATGTTGCCTGTGTTGGTAATGGGTTTGCAGGGTTGGATGGCTGCCTGCTGGGTTGGCCTTGCTTTGTTCCCACTCTCTCCCTGCCCTGTCTCCCAGGATGTAGGGAGAAGCAGCATCGCTGGGTTCACTGACCCATATTTAGGGGGTTGTAGGCTGCCTTGTGCCTGCATCAGGCATTGGAGGTCTGAGTGTGTGCAGTCAGTAACAACCGCTCCTTACAGCTTTGCTTTCACTCCCGTGGCTACTTAACACCCGATCTTCTCCCATCACAAGGCGACGCAGAGGCCGTGTTCTAACGCTGGCCACATTTCCTCTTTCTGCAAGCCAAACCGTCCAGCGTGGCATGACGACACCTGAGATACTTATTTCTACTTCACCCAGCTCAGCTTGCACGCTGGACCCCAAAAGAGTACTGGGCTGCAAAGAGCAGCGGGGCAGCAGCACCCTAAGGCGGTCTGCAGCGGCGCGGGGCGCAGCGCCGGGCGGCTCGAGGGACTCAGCGACTCCACAGACCCCGCGCACAGCCGCCCTCCCCCCAGTCGCTGCGCACCGCCCTCTCGGGGCCGCTCCCTGCTGCCTTCCCCTTCCCGTTCCGCACTGCTGACTGCCGGGACTCGTAGTCCCGCGGCACCGCACCGCAACCCGACCTCAACCGGCACGGCACCGCAGCCGGACCGCAGCTGGACCAGCACACACACACCAGGTGCGCTCCCGATTTTGCGCCGCGCTCCGGCACCGCGCTCTGCTCCGCTCCCACCTGTTGTTCCGCTCCCAATTCCGCCGCCCGCCGAGTGGCATCGGCCCGGGCTGAGAGTTCGGTGAGAGCTCGAATGGGATCTCTGGGCCGGGCCAGGTGCCCAGCGCGGCGGCGGGGGACGTGCACATGGCTCTTTTTTTTTTTTTCTTTTTCTTTTTCTTTCCAGTTTTTAAAACTCCTTTGTGTGACGCGCAGTGGGACGGTGGAGTTTGGCTCGGGTCAGGGTCCGTTTCCCATAGCTCTCCATAACTGTTCTCGTGCTTGGGGCCGTGCTGTAACACTGCGATTCAAATCTATCCAGTGAGCACAACTCAGTATAGGGAGGTGCCCCATCCCTGCCCCCACCCCTTTCAGCGCTCACTTTGTCCCCATCAGTACAGAACGGGTTTCGGCAGTTGGCGGCTCCCTGTTTTGAGGCAATTTGAGATTCAGGGGGAGAGGGAGGGAGAGCTGGGGGCAGGCTGAGCATTGTGCCCTCTGTGTGGCTCTGTCACCCCGAAGCTGCTTGCTGCAGGACCCTTCCAAGTGCTGCTGCTGGGCAATGGAGAAGGACCCTGCACTGCGGCTCCGTGTCTTTGACCTCAACTGCTGGTAGGTACTGAGCCCAGTGAGGCTGTGGGTATGGAGACATCTACCCTAGGAGGTCTACCTTCATGCCTGCTTGGCTTGGGATCACACTGTTTTCACAGCCCAAACAGAGGGCAGGGCACTCAGCTGGGCTTTTCCTACTCCTTTTCTGTTCCCCTGTGCTCCCTATTCTCCCACGTGGAAAGAGCTCTTCATGTGCCCCCCAAATGGGGGTGCGCTGCTTCACCTTGCAGGTGGGGAAAGCCATCCTCAAAGAGCCTCCCTGCACATTCCTATTGTCCCCACGACCCTACCATTCTATCTCCCCTCGCTGAGTTGCATCCTGCCCCATACCCTCTTCCCCCATTTTGGGTCCCCACGAGCCCTTATCCCCAGCTCCTCTCCATGGCTTAGGGCCATCCGTTACCTGAGCAAGCGGCGGCAGGAGCGCATCCGCCTCATCGGAGACCGGCTGTGCCAAGAGGGCTTCGACCTTGTCCTGCTGCAGGAGGTGAGCTCACTCATGAGCTGATCATGCCAGTCTCAGCTCACATACTGAGCACACCCAGTCTCAGCCTATCTCACTGAACCGCAGATATGGAGTGAGCGTGACTACAGCGACCTGAAGGCAAAGCTGGGTGGTTGCTGCCCCTTCTCCCATTATTTCCGAAGGTGAGAAGGGCTGGGACATTCCCTAGAGGGAGGGAGGTGGTTGTTCACTGTGCCCCCCTGCAGCGGTGTCATCGGCAGTGGCCTCTGCGTCTTCTCCAAGTTCCCCATCCTGGACACACTGCTCTACCAGTACTCACTCAATGGTTACCCCTATATGGTGAGTGGGGTGGATAGGGCACATGGCATCCACAGGGCACTACTGAGCTGTGCCAGCCTGCCAGCCCCTGCCTCCCCCCTTCCCCTTTGGCAGCTGCAGCATGGAGACTGGTTCTGTGGCAAGTCTGTGGGTCTCGTCGTTGTCAGGATTGCCGAGATCACCTTCAACATCTATGTCACCCACGTGAGTACCTGAAGGAGACGGGTGGCTGCACCCCTCCTTTGTTTTCCCCTCTCTGGGAACACTGCTAAAATGCAATGATTTAATATTGCATAGGGTGGGGGGACAGTGACCCCAGCTGGGCAGCACAGTGGAGTGAAGGTCCCAAGCTGTCAGTAGAATGAAAGCAGAGCCATGGGACCAAAGCATTGCAGGGAGCTGCGGAGCGGGATAGGTGCTGCGGGGGGGGGATCATGGGTGCTTTGTCCCCTGCTTTTCCAGCTGCATGCTGAGTACAGCCGGGAGAAGGACACCTACCTGCCCCACCGTGTGGTGCAAGCCTGGGAACTGGCACAGTTTATTCGGTAAGTGCTCACAGCTTGCAGCCAGGACTATGGGAGGGGTGCACCACGGGATGCCCCCTCCCCCAGGGCTGAACCAGAGGGCTGAGTCAGTCCTGTCCCTGCAGCCACACAGCGAAGGCAGCTGACGTAGTGCTGCTGGGGGGAGACCTCAACATGCACCCTGGAGATGTGGGCATCCGGCTTCTGCGTAGCTGGACGGGACTGCAGGATGCCTACACTGAGGCCAAGCACTTTGAGGTGACTGGTGGCTCAGCAAGCACACCCCCAGGCCCTGTGTGCCCATCTTTGCCCAGGGTATGGCACAGGGCTCTTGTTCTCAGGGCTGCGAGGACGGCTGCACTCTCACTCCAAATAACTGCTTCACTGTCAAGTCGGAGCTACAGCCCTTCCCGTCAGGCATCCGGATCGACTACATCCTCTACAAGGTGACAGGGTCCCTCCATGCTGCACATGGGGCAGAGGACAGCCAGTGACTCCACTGCCCCCTTGCCCAGGCTATCTCCAGCTTCACAGTGAAGTGCGAAGAGCTGAGGACCACCACAGGAACAGTCCCAGGAATGGACATCCCTTACTCAGACCATGAGGCTGTGATGGCAAGGCTGTGCATCCAACGGAGGGGACAGACAGCGGGTGTCACCATTGGCACAGCCAGTAAGGTTTGGGGACACCACTGAGGTCCCCTTGACATGGGTTTGAGGACACCAGTGGGGTCCTGCATGCACTGGGGATACTGCTGACCACTGGCTTTGAAATGGGGAGGATATTTTGGAGCACCCCGTGGAAGGGAGCTGACAGAAATATGCTGGATGGGGACCAAATGGGTGTGGATGGATGTCACCCCCAACCCCTGTTCCCACAGTGCCAGCGCTGGTGGAGGTGCTGAGTGAGGCACGGACAGAGGTGTGCATGGGGCTGCTGACAGCACGGCGACAGCGTTATTCCTCAGGCAGGATGGCAGTGCTGGCCATGCTGCTGCTGCTGCTACAGGTGGTGGGAGTGCTGGGTGTGCTGGGAGGGCTGGCAGCTGGGAAGCCCTTCCCTGCTCTCTCCTTCTCCCTGCTGGCCTTCCTCGCCCTTGCCATCCTCCTCCTTGCTGCTGGCCTCCACCTCTTCCACAGCATTGAGGTGAAGATGCTGCAGGGCACCAAGGAGCAGATGGAGATGGTGATACGGGGGCTGCAGGAACAGCCCCTCCACCGCCACTGACCTGGCCCCATCCTGACCCCTTTTTTAGCAGAAGAAAATAAAAGAGGTGTTTTAACCCTTTGTGCCATGTCAAGGAGGTTTTATTCCAAGGCAGGGGGTTGCAGCAGAGTGGGAGGTGCAGAGCATCCCACACCCAGGACTCCCATACTGTAAGCACCACATCTCTGTGGAGAACAGCTCTGCAGCAACTGGGAAATCTTTAAAGGTCCATGCAAAGGCACTGGAATTGGAGAAGCCCGAAAGGGCCAAGGAGGATGTGGCCACCAGTGCCCTTTGTCCTGTGTCACAGATAGTGCCAGCTCTGGGCAAAATCCACTAGGAGAGCTGCTGGGGAAACATCCTCATCCCACATCACATTGCACAGGAGTTTTTGACCCTTGTATCCTGCGGTGGATGGGGACAGTATGGAGGTGGCACCCAAAAGTGGTGATGCAGAGCTACGTGCTGGCCATTGGTAGTCCCGTTTGTAGAGCCTGATGTCAGGGTTTGGTGTGGATGTTCCCATCTGGGATGGATGTCTTTGATTAGTGTGGGTGTCCCCAGCTGGGATGGATGTTCTTGATTGGGATGGATGTCCCAGAGTAGCTTCCAGGCACTGCTCCTGCTGCTGCCCCACCGTATCTGGCATGAAACTGCCACCTGCCCATGGTGGCCATGGGCCCTTGGGGTCTGGTGGGCATGGAGCTGTCACACACTGGGACCGAGGCACTGTCCTGAGGAAGGCAGTGGAGCAACTTGAGCATGAGAGGTTTTACAGGACCAAAAGCTTTTGATGCCATCAGTTCTGCCTTGTGGCAGCATCTGCCTTGAAGGGGTCATAGCTGTGGGATCTCTTGCAGCGAGAGAGACTCCAGTTCCTCGATGGGGATTTTTCCTCTGGCAAATCCTGGGCAGAGCCATGCAGCCCTTGTATTTCATGTGCCCTGCAAATCTCATTTTCAAGCAAGCACAAGGCCAAGGCAAAATTAAGCTGGATGTGGGGGGCACTTCTTCTGTGCTGCAGAATGGGTATGCTCCTTGCTGTCACCCCCTCCATAGCAAGTGGGGACGCAGCTTCGCCATGGCAGCTGCCTGCAAAGCAGCTTGGGGTGATGCTTAACCTGGGGAGGGACACTGCTAGAACCCCCCCCATGAGAATCCTTCAGGGATGCAGCTCACTGAGACGCTTCTCCTCCTGCATGTGGATGAGTGCATTGCGTTTGTCCACCACCTTCAGCAGCTGAGCCAGGATCTGTTGCTCAGCTGCATGGTCCTCAGGGGTCTTCAGGGCTTCTGTGGGAGTAGCAGGGGCTGCAGCATGGCTGGGGGTCCCCACCACACACAGCTCCCACCTCCAGTACACACAGATGCTTACCTTCTTTCTCTATGTACCAACGCAGCTCCTGGTCCAGCTGCCACTGCTGCTCCTCCAGCTTCAGCTCCTGCACCCTGCAGGGCAGAAATGGAAAGAAGTGAGCATGGGGCCAGGCGCCTGCGGGGGAGGGAGTCCATGCAGCATAATCCCCAGACCTACGTGATCATGAGGTCCGACTCCTCCAACATCAGGCTGTTCTTCTTCTGCACCAGGTACAGCAACTGGTTCATCCACTGCGTCTTCTGGTCAGCTGGGCTGTCTGCAAGGCAGGGCAGGGTGAGTGGTGTGAGCCCCTTCCTTCGGCACTGAGAAGCCCCACATACCAAATCCTCACCACTGTCCTCCCGAAGGAACTTTTCCAGCTTGATACCCTGCAGCTCCAGCTCTCGGAATGTCACCTCGATCTCCTCCAGCCGCCGCTGGATGGCCTGTGGGGTGGGGAGGGGTAATGGTTGGCCAGCGCATCCCAGTGCATGAGGTAAGGATGGGGATGGGAACCTAGCCTCCACAGCAGGGCTCCCTACCTGGGCTTTGCAGAACCGCTTCATCTGTGCCTCCCGTGCACGGCGGTCCAGCGTGTGTTTCCAGGTGGGGTACTTCTCTGTGCCCCCCACTATCAGGTTCTGTGCAGGGACATGGGGAGGGTGAGGCAGAGCCATGCCTGAGGCCTTGATGTGGGACAGTGTGGGACCAGTGGGTTTGCTGCTGCCTGAACGTACCAACTCTCCCGTGATGTCCAGGTCTGAGCCTTCCTCCTCCTCCTCTTCCTCACTGTCACTCTCCTCCAGATCTGTATCCCCTCAAAGCACAGAACAGTTGAGGCACAATGGGGTCCAAGAGAGACCCTCAGCCCAGATCAGCAGCCACCCACCTTCCTCCATGACTGCTTCTTCTTCCTCCTTCTCCTCCTCCTCCCAGGCCACCTGTGCCTGCACACCTAGCATGGCCTCGAGCGGTGCCTGCAGCCGCAGCCGTGCTGGCTTGGGGGGAGGCTCAGCCTCTGTGTCGCCCATGAGGCTCAGTGAGGAGAGATGAAGCTTCTCCAGGTCTGAGAGGATGATCTTCCTCCTGCCACCACTCTCTTCAGCATCCTCCACTGCCTTCTGAGGCTCTGTGCTGGGACCTTCACTCTCCTCATCCTCCTCCATTGTATTCTCCATCCCCAAAACCAGCAGCTCCTGCTCTACTATCTCATCAGTGCCCGTAGCATCCTTCACTTCATCAGTGCCCACACCCTCCTCTATCTTGGGCTCCCAGGGTGGCTGTGGGGAAATGGGTGGGGGTCCAGGCTTCTCCTGCTCAGGGGATGCACAGGGGCTCCCAGCATCTGAGAGCACGTGGTCAGTGACAGCATCCTAGACCCGCAGGGGTAGAGGAGGAGAGATGAGTGTGAGGCTATACCCAAGCATTCCCTCCCACTATTTGACCCCATTCATGGCCACTTACCCCATCAGGCAGCATGGAAGGTTTGTTCGGGAGCAGTGCTGGTGGCTCATGCGGGGGCAGCTCCATGCTAAGGGTGTCAGGGAAGTGAAGTGAGCAATAGAAGTGACCTGGGAGGATGGTGCAAACCACACAATGAGCAAGCAAAGAGGTTGCGAAGAGAGTCACCCACCCCCCTGGTCTCCGTCTCCAAACACACTCACCGTCCTCCTCGTTGAAGGCGTAGTCTCCTAGGCGCAGCGTGGCCCCACAGCGCCAGCACTGGAAGCAGCTGCGGTGGAAGAAGAGTCCCTCGGCGCTGGCCCGTTCCAGGATGTAGACACGGCGTGCACAAAAGTAGCAGGCATCACTGCTCTCTGGGCGAACCAATGTCTGTGGGAGGACAGGACGGGTTGGGGTGATGTGGGGTACCCAGTCTTTGGGGTTGGGCGGCTGGGGGCTCCTCTTGTAGAGAAGCTCAGTTGTTGACACAGGGAGGAAGGGAGCTGCAGCGCCTGGCTCCAGAAAACCAGTTGGGTCAGGAAATGCTGTGGGAGGAGCCGGGAGCTCGTGGGCGTCTGCTGACGCAGCTCGTGTGCCAGCCCTTGGCTTGGCCCCATGAACAGGAGGAGCCCCCCAAGCACAAGGTGAGGACCAACCTGTGCGGGGTCCACAGTGGCAGCAGGTTGTGCATCGTGGTCATTATCCATAGAATCTCCAGATGGAACTGCATCAATCTAAGGGCACAGCACCAAACAGGGTTCAGTACTCCACAGGCTGCACCACACAGAGCGTCCCTTTGGTATTCATCAGGCACCCACCTCTGTGCTGTCCCTATTGCTCTTCTTGCCCTCAGCATCTTTCTGCACACTGGCCTGTCAACACAAATAGGGGACCCAGAGTTATGAGGGATGGCTGTGGGGAGCAACGTGGGGTGATGAGGGGGGTCCTTACCTGGGTGCGCTTGTGAGTCAGGATGCGGCTCTTCTGTAGCTTGCTGAGAAAGAGGATGGCCCCTTTGGTGCCACAGGGGGACAGAGGCTTCTTGCTGAGCTCCATCGACGCTGCACAGAGGGGATGGGGACACATTGGGGATGAAATGGGGAGCACCCAGCTAGCCCCATGGGTTGCTCAGGCTGGGATAACCCACCCTACAATTCACACCTGGAGGAGGAGGCTTGAATGCTTCATAGAACTGGCTGAGGTAGGTGATGAGCCCCAGGCGGTTGGTCTCAGCCATGGAGGCCATCTCAGCACTGGAGAGGATAGGCTGGATGCCCAACTCCTGCTCTGCCACATCCAGCATCAGCTGGTGGGTGCGTATGGGGTCCTGTGGGTCCATGGCGTTGAAATCCCTGCAGGGAGGGTGCATGTTGTCAGGGTGGGTGCTGTAGGGTGGGGGTGTCTGGGACTGGGCACTTACACCAAATGGGGACGAAATCGATGGATGAGGGCACAGAGAGCCAAACCACTGGTCCAGGAGGACGTGAAGTCAGTCACCTCCACCCCATGATACCCATCCGTGCTATCCTGGCACCAGCGCAGCAGCTCCTTGTAGGTGTCTCCGCAGACAGCTGGGAAGGCAGCAGCACACATGTCCCATCCCAACCCAAGGACACCCCCCCAGAGGTCCCCCACCCATGGCATCATGCGTTAGGTGGAGACTTCATCATGCAGTTTCCCCCAGAGCTCTATCAATGAAATGAGAAAGCATCAGGAGGAGGGAAAAAAAGAAAGCAGTGGGATAGGAGCTGTCCCCATGGGGGCTGTGTCATAGAGAACGGGATGGGGATGCAGACATTGCATTGGGGATCCAGATTATGCTGGGAGGAGCACAGTGCCTGTATGCTGGGGTTTCAAAATGATGGGATGGGGAGGGAAATCAGGGCAGGAGCCACTCTGTCATGGCCTGCGGGAGGGGTCCTGGAGGTGGGAGGACCATGGGGCCGCTCCTACCGGTGCTGAGCCTGTTGTCAATCTTCTTCTCGTGGTCCACCTCCACCTTGCCTACGAGGTAGAAGTCCCGGACCTGCCAGAGGGGACACTCAGGTCACCCGACTGCATCCAACTGGCATTGGCAAAGGGGACATCCAGACACCCCCCTACCCCCCACCATCCAGCTGCCACAGGAAATGTATTACACACCTTGGGGACCTACAGCTGTGATTTCATACCTGTGGGGGACAGGGGACCATGCCAGTTAGGAGGGGACCATGTCAACTGGTGACACACAACTGGTGTCACCTCACTGATGGGCACCAAGCTGGATGGCTGCTGTCTCTCCCACCCAAGCAGGATACACCTGGGCCGGGAAGTGGAGAGCTGATGCTCTTCATCCGTACTCCAGGACAGTACCTGGCTGGGTCTGATAGCCTGCAGGTTGAGGTTAGGGTAGCGTGTGGTGGGGTCGATGCTGTACTGTGTGACGTTCTTGTTGGTGTTGTCTGGTGAGGTCTGCGATAGGCGCTGGTAGATGCTCTCCCTGGGCACAAGGGGATGATGCTGGGTGTCACACCCACTCTCACACCTCCCCACCACACTGAGCGCACAACCATTCCAGGGTGGACTCTCACCTCTCTGCCAACACCTCCAGAGGAGGTGTCCCGGCCGCCCACCGCCGCACCATCCATGCTGCATCAAAGGCAGCCAGGAAGCCCCGAGCCACACCGGTGCCCAGAGGCCAGAAGGGCTGTGGAGAGGAAAGTAAAGGGGACAGGGATGGGGATGAAGCTCTGTGGCCAGTTGGGGTGGCTGGGAGGAGGCAGGGAGCAGGCAGGCTTGTATGGAGATGAAAGCAGGTAGAGGTGGCAAGGCATGGGCAGAGGGAAAGACAGACATCTCCTCCCCAGCTCCATGGCTGCATAGATGCTGCTGCACACCAGGAGGAACTGGGCTGCATCCCAACTACCTCCAGTGAAGGGATAACTCATCCCCACCAATGTATCTTGCTACCAGCAATTTGGGTATGTGTCCATGGGGATAGGGTGCACTGAGCAGCTCACGGATAGGGAAACTGAGGCACATTGCTCACCTCCACCAGGCAGTCGCCCACCAGCCCCACCAGTAGGCGTGCCCCGTTGTGCTCCCGCACCAGTGCTGCGTTTTCGGAGCGTGTCATGCAGGTGAAGTCAAACATGTCGACATCTGGCTGGTTGTGATGGTTGAGGGCGAACTCCAGCTCAGGCAGGCAGTAGTTGGTGGAGAAGTTGGCAGCCTCCTTGGCATAGCTGAGCAGTGCATCCCAGTTCACATTGTCTGGGGACAGGAGGCTCTCAATGTCCGCTTTGTCCTACAGGGATAGGTGGGTCCAACCAGGATGGGAAGTGGCATTTGTCCCCATCCCAGTGGTGGGACAAACCCACTTGCCTCACCTGCAGGATGACACCCTTCTTCAGCAAGCTCTGCTTCCTGGCTGTCATGACAAAGTAGTGTGTATCATCCTTGTAGTAGACGATGTTCTCCAAATCAATCCCTGGTGATGAGGAAGGAGCTGAGCTGAGCTGAGCTACCTATCATCCTCACCAATAGGATCACTGTGTGGGGATATGCACCCACCACAGGGTGCATAACTGGAACAGAACCTATGAGCTTTATGGCACCACTGCATGTCCCACCAGTGTGGTGACCATGTGGGGAAATGCACCCATGATAGGGTGCACACCTCAGGACCCCCCCACTGACCCAGGACCACCAACCTGTTTTATTGTAGAGGTTTTGGAAGAACTTCTGGTTGTAGATCCGGGCCACGCCGCTGATCTCGGCTACCTCCACCTCTGCCCGGCTGTAGCGGTTGATGAAGTTGGTGGTGATGCCAATAGCCAGCTTGCCTCGCATCTCCTTCCGCTTGAAGCCTTCTGGGACAAACTTGCCTCCCCCAGCCGAGATGAGGACATCAAACTCATAGTGGCTGAGGGGAGAGGAGCTGGGCTGCAGCACAGCCCGCCAGCCGCCTGCAGGACAGGGGAGTCACTGGGGTCTGCTTGTGTCCCCAAGATGCCACAACCCTTAAGCCGTGCCTTACCCTGTCCAGCTGCTTTGCCTGTGGGGGGATGGAGGCCTTTAAATTGAACCTTGGTATACACCTCCACACCCAGCAATAGGGCCACCTTCAGCAGGATGAGCTGCAGCTGCCGGATACCTGCAAGTGGACACAGGGGGAGCAACGAGAGCTGCACTACCTGCCCAACTCTGGGGTGCACCCAAATCACTCACTGATGTGGTCCAGTGTGCCAGTGCAGAAGCGCCCGTAGAACTTCTTGGCACCCAGCGCCCGCAGATCATGGATGGTGAAGGGCCATAGGTGCAGCACATTGTTACGAGAGAAGGAGTCACGCTTCTCCAGCAGCACCACACGGGCGCCAAGCAGCGCCAGCTCGATGGCAGTGCGCAGGCCACAGGGACCAGCACCCACCACCAGACACTGCAGAGGGGACAGATGGCATGATGTCCCCATGGTGTGACATCCCCATGATGTGACGTCCCAGCAATGTGTCGTCCCCATGCTGTTACGTCAGGCTCAAGATAATCTCACCCTAATCCACCTTAAACCATTGCTCCATCCCTTCCCACTCCCCTCCTTCCTCTCCATGCTGCAAACAGGATGCCCTGTGAGGTGACATCCACCTCCTCGCAGGCTGAATCTTGCCCTGGTGTCACGGCAATGGCAGCAATTAAGCACCAGGCAAGATAAGGAGCACACGCTTTCCCTCTCTGCAGATGGGGAAGTTTTGCTGGTACTCAGTAATGAGACTGAACTTTGAACTGCTGTCAGGCAGGAAGTGACAGTGGGGAAAAAAGGCGACAGCGGGGAGATGAGGGACAGAATTGAGGTCCCCAGCCCCAGGGGGACACACGGTGTTGGGTCACTATATCCCTCCACCCTTTTGCAATCCCCACAGTGGGGATAGGATGGCCACTGCTAACTGAAAAGCACCAAGGTGGCTTTGTGCCATGGGAGGGCATGGGGGTTAATTAACACATCAAACCACTTCAAGACATTAAACTGCAACTCCATCCCAAGTGGCACATCCTGCACCTTCCTCCAAGGACATCCCAATGGATGCTCCCACTCCGCGGACACAGCATAGGGACCCAACCTCACATCCCACAGCCACCTTTACCTTGGTGCTGGCGCAGGCAGTGCCCTGGTCGTAGTCCTTGTGTCCTGCTTTCTTATCCAGCTTGCTCCACAGAGCCTTGGCACTCCAAGAGTTGAGGGCAGCCTTGAGGTTGTGGTACAGCTGCAGCCCATTGCCCTGCAGCCCCAGCTGATGACACAGCTCTGCAAAGCAGCTCAGGACCTCCTGGCACTGCCTGGCACGTACAAAGTGCTCAAACAGAGTGTGGGCTGGATTGGTCGGCTCCTCATCGGGTGTACTCATCCTGGGGAAACAGCGGAGATAAGAGGAGGACCCCCAAGTGCCATCCTCCAGTCCATCCCCATAGGGATGCTGCAGGACCTGGGGTCTCAGCACGAGATTTTGCAGCACAGGGTGCAGCAATCTTGATGATGGTGACACTAGAATCAGGGCCCTTTCCGGCTGCACCCAGTAAGCCACGGTGTCACCGTGCAGGGTGACGTCAGGGAAGGGGACGGCTGCAGCTTCCTTTGTACTGTGCGTACCTGCAGCAAGTGAGAGCACTGTTTTGGAGCAAAGATACCGCTTCCTTCCTCTTATTGGTGAGGTCCCAGCTGCAGGGACAAACCACAGTGCCCCAAGAACAGTAAAACTACTGCTGGGCAGGAAGGGGCAGGACCCTGCTGCCCTGGTTTGAGAGCAGGACTTGCTCTGTGACAGCCCAGCAAGGTGGAAGCTGCCAGCCTGGAGGCAGACGGAGAGCAGCACAGAGGAAGCAGTGTTGGGAAACCAAAAATAACCAAATGACACACAGCCCTGGCAGCATGCAGGGAGATTTCCACCAGAGCTGGGGTGTAGCACTCCCCCCAAACCCTGCCCTTGCTCAGCACCTGCCCAATGCTTGCTCATCTATCTCCACGCACCTCTCCCCAGACCTGGTGGCACCACACTACTGTCCCATGCCACAACTAGCACCAAGCTCTGCCCTCTCCATCCACCTCCAAACCATGGGGCTGGGGATGCTCCCAACCTGGCAGGAGAACCAGCATGGTGGAAGTCTCATCCTGCTGCACTGCTCCTCAGCTGTTCTGCTCCCTCTTTGAACAGTGAGCATTGCCCTTGCACTGCGCCCCAGCTCCCTGAAGCTCTCCAGCCTTACCAGTGGGAAACAATGAATTTGAAGAGCTTGGGGAAACTGAGGCATCCTGCCCACAGCGAGTGGTGTGGGGCCAGGGTTGTGCCCCATTCCAGGGCAGCATTCCACTGCAGTGCTTTGGCTTGGCAAGGAGGAGGCAGAACAAGAAGCTCTATGTTACTTTGAGTTTCCTATGGAAACGATGTTCGTGCTGGCACTTCATGTCCCCTTTGGTGTGCTTGAACCCCCACACAACAGCTTTTAGCAGTAGTAGGTACCACTCTGGCTGCTCAGTTCATGCAGATTTGCTCCTAACAAAGGGGGAAAAGGCACTGAGCCCCCACCTCTGCACTCCCCAGATGAAAGCGCAAATGCTTTGTTCATTTCTTCCCTTAAAGGCAGAGGGAGGAGGTGGGTTTGTAGCCAGTCCTGACTCAGCCTGGGACAACTCTGGTTGGAGCAGCTGCAGAAGCTCATAGGGAAATCATCGAGCACCAGTGCATGCAGAACAACCCTGGAGTGGGGATGCTCATTTGTGCTGAGGGGGTTTCCCCTTGTCCTGCCTCATGGGATGCAGAGGGGAAGCAGGCCCAGGGGTGCAGAACTGCTGGCAAGTTCACATCCTCCGGCACATGAAAACAGGGTAGGGAAGGACAGAGCAAATGCAGGCTGGGAGGGCTTCCAAAAGCACAGCTTGGCAGGTGGGCCTCTCCCTCCTGCTGTGCGTGCTCCCAGCACAGACTGGGATCAGCCCAGAGAACCCATGGGCCAGTCTCCGCAGGATTGCCATCAAGGCCGGGTGTTCTCTGCCAAGGGTTTATGAAAGTGGGTATCAAAGCCCCTTGGGATGCAGCAACCTTGTGCAGACTCCAGGGGGGTCTCAGCCACTTGCAGTGGAAGTGAGCACTTCTCCGGTGCATTGTGGGGTTGTTCTGCAAAGGGGATCCACAAACCACATCCTGACCACATCCCCAAGAACTCGGGATGAAGACAACACTCGGGGGCACCAGCACCCCCAAAAGTTGTCTGAGCTCATGGGACTCAGCCATGCACCCCAATCAGCACCAGCCCCTCAGGCAGCACAGAGGTCACTGCAGCCAAGGGAATGGGGACTGCTCAGTCCCTTGTCTGGGACAACACTGGTAGTGCTATCAAGAAGCTGCTCTTGCTTGGGCTGGGGCTGAGATGGCTGAAGGCAAAAACAACCTAGAGTGTCCTCTCCTCTGGGTTCTAACTGCCTGAGGTGGGGTAGGGTGGAGTGGGATGCCCAGCAGTGCTGCTCTGCAGCAGACGTACCCTGGAGGGACAGCAGACTTGCAAACCCACGTTCAATTGGCAAAATGTCCCGGGGGCTCCTGCACACCGATTGAGCATCTTCCCCCTGCACCCAAGCAAGGCGCCAAGATGGGGATAAGCCTCTCCCTTTGCAAAGCTCTTCCTGCTCCATTGTGCTTGGTACTGGGAGCACTGATGGGACTGGGAAAAGAGTGCAGGACGAGGGGACTACTCCCTTTTTCCTTGGTCCTGGTGGGAGCAGAATGTAGGAGTTGGCAAAGTGAAGACCAAGGGGAGACACATGCAGCCCAGCATCCCAAAATAACCCCCAAGCATTCAGCAACTTGCACTGCATCAAACCGGAGCGATGTTTCCGGTGGCACTCACACAGTGCAGTCCCCCTTTCATCCACATTCTCCTTGGAGCAGGAAACAGAGCTGGGGGGGGAGAGGGTGGGGGGCAGCAGGGTGATCCCTACATCCCCCCACCCACTAGGGATTCTCTGCCCATTCCCCTCCCACTCACCTTCAGGTCTGCGCGGTGGGGGAACAGCACGGGGATGGGGCTGGATGAGGGCTGAAAGGGGTTCCGGCCACCCGGTTCAATTCCTCCCGGCTCCTTTCCTTCTGACTGTTCCTTTCCTCTCTTCTCGACTCCTTTCCTGCTGGAAGGCGGTGCTGGGATCTCAGCAGAGGGGGCAGGGCTGTCTCCGTGTCTGCCTCGTTTTGTGCTGCCACAAATTGTGCTGCAATCGTGGTTTTGGAGAGCGGTGATGAAACAAAACACTTTGCTTTTCGTGCACTGCTTCCTCCCCACCCCCAGAAATAGAGCCTAGCGCCCAGCAGCCAGGTCTTGCCCTGTGCGAGAGGGATTTGCTCAGCACCTGTCTCTAAATGAGCCAATAGTGTCCCCAAGCAGTGCCACACTCATGGAAAATTTTGGGAGAGCACTTCCACCTTAGCTGAAGGTCCGCAGGGGGATGAAGCTGCCCACTCCCCAAAGATTGACCCCGGCTGGGTGGATTTTAGGATTTCCCAGCGGTGAATTCCTTGGGGTGCTGCTGCCTGCTCACTCCATGCCCCTAGTGATGGGGCTGGTGGAGCAGTGACACATGGTGACAACCTGCCACGAGGCTGCAGTGACTCAGGGACATGGGGCAAGGAAGCACATAGGGACCGTGAGTCATGTGCAACAAGAGGAGACAGGTGTCCCAATACCTCCATCCCTCCATGGATCCTCCCAAGAGTCCCATAACAGGACCCTCACCCATGGCCCCACAGCTTTGCTGGACTGGCTGGAGTCCCCCAACCCCATGCGAAACCCCCAGAGCCCACCCATGTTTTGGAGGTGTGGATGCAGAAACGAGGTGTCTGCGCAGAACTGGGACTGGTCCCAGCCATGGAGCTGCTTCTGACAGCTCCCTTTGTGAGTACTTCGTGCTGCTACAAAGAGAGCTAAGTGCTAATCAGCTCCTTCCAAGTGTAGGTTTGACCCTCGGGGGACAGATGTAGAGAATTAGCATAGATCTTAATTAAGGCAGAAAAGGAACTGGAGGTATAGATCCTTCCTCTCCCTGTGTGCCCATGCTGGGGTTGAGGACACAGGGGAAGGTGGTGGCATTCCCTACAATGCAGGGACAAAGAGAGCATACCTGAGACACAGCCCTAAAGCAAATCCATGGTGGTCGTGGGCACTGTCCCCAAGGGAAAGGGGACACACAAGGGACATCCATGTATCCCTCACTGTGGCTGTGTCATTAGAACCAAGAAACTCATCACAGGGCTGCAAGCTGCTGCTGCAGCTTTGTGCCTACAAGCTCCAAGCACAGAACGTCGCCCTTTGCTCCAGCATCAAAACTCCCCATTTTTTTTCCTCCAATTTTATTATTCTAGGGCCTCTGTGGTTTCTGGGGGGGATCGGGAGCAGCGATGGGGAGTGGGTGCAGCTAAGCTTTGGGTGATGCTGCAGGCTGCAGCCGCTGCAGCTCCAAAAGGTGGAGAAGGAGGAGGAAGGCGACGCTCAGGAGAAGCAGACAGAACACAACCCAGTAGGGCTGTGAGATGAAGAGCCACGGCTGCCACAGCTCCACAGAGGACTCCTTGGACCTAAGGACAAGGCAACAAGGGACATCCTTCACCCAAAGGGCACAGCATTTGTCCCAAAGCAGGGACAAAGTTTAGCCCAAACCTGGATGAAACAAGAGTGAGGAGGGCACAGGTGACTCACAGTGCACGAGGAAACAGGCAGGGCAGGTTCAGTGGGTCAATCACAAAACTCCATCTCCCAACCTCCCACCTCCATCCCCACATGCTGGCAGCACTGGGATTGTAGAGCCCCGAGGATGAAGGGTGTTGCTCACATCATCCTGAGCTGCCCCAGCTCCTTGTCCCCTGCAATTGATTCCAACTCCTTGCCAACCGCTTCCACCACTAGCCCCTCGCTCACCACGTTGCCCTGGCTTGGTGGCTCCAGTTTGCTCCTAGAGAGGGAGAAATGGGACGCTGTGCCCCATGGGATGGAGGCAGACAGAGCCATGTTGTCCCCCCACCCTTCCATTCACCCAGCACCATTACCTCTGGGTGCTGGTCTGGTGTTGGGCACCCTCAGGCCCACCAGCTAGGGTTGCTCGGCCATCCATGCCAGAAGCTGGCTGGGCACCAAAGGAGGGAACGTGAGCACCCAGACCTGATGGCACCAAGTCTGTCTGTCCCCACTGAGCATGTCCTTACCAAGAGCTGCTTTGGGATGACAGCGATGCTGACTCGGCGGCGTGCAGATGCCTGTGGTGAACAGAGGGGATAGGGTGAACACAGTGCTGATCTCTCCCCACATTCCCCATCACCAGTGTGAGCAAGGGACACTGAGGAGAAGAAGGGGTGTTGCCAGCCTCCCATCAGTAGGTGATGAGAAGAAGGGGTGTCAAAGCCAAGAGCATTGCGCCTGTCCCTGCTGAGCCAAGCGGTGCCACCTAACCCCTCCTGAGCGCTCCCCTACCTCATGAGCTGTAGGGGAAGCAGAGATGAATTCGAGCTGGAGCTAGAGAGCAGCCTCCTCCCCGTCAAGCCCTGCAACGCAGAGGGACTGCCTGAGGTCTCCAGGCCAGCAGCTCTCCCCTACATTTTGCCCCGGTGCTTCTAGCAGACCTTGCCTACAGCAGTAGCTGGGAAGAGGGATGCTGCCCTGGGGGGAGCAGTGCGTGGGTACAGCAGGGAGAGGGATGTTTGCAGGGCATGAGGTGGTACTGGGAGTTGGGAGATGTGCTGTACTGCCATTACCTGCTGGAAACCTCGCATCAGGGGGTGAGGCCTCAGTCGCTGCTCTGCATCATCTGGAAGAAAAGAGAAGAAACCTCATGTTGCCTGGGGGAAAAATGGGGCTGATGTGCAGGCAATTGTGGATGTCCCTCATGTTAGAGGCAGACAGGACAACGTGCTCTCTGCTTGACACAAGCCACAGGTGTGCCCAACCAGGGGGAACTGCTTGTACACACACACTGTGCATGGGGTTTGCAGGGACAGGGCACCCTTTGTGTGCCCCCACTCTGAATTCCCCACTGGGCTGCAGAACAGCCACCAGCACCTGCTCCCACTCTGTGGCTGCTGTTACATGGGCCCCTCACATTTGTCATCAGGTCTGGCAGCTGCAGCCCCAGCTGTCATCCACCCCCAGTCCCCAGCTGATGGCTCTGCAGCACAGGATCATGCTGACATCGGGGGGGGGTGGGAGTGGGAGGTTGGAACTGAATGCTGCAGTGTTGCCCCCCTCAGGGGTGAGACCATCTCACCCTGGGTTTCTGCCAACTGCCGGTTGCGGGAGTTCTGCTGGATCAGGCACTTCATCTCCTCCAGCTCAGCGTGCTCACGCACGTGGTGCCGCTTCAGGTTCTCCACATGCTGGACCATCACCTCCGCCGCTCGGCTCATCCGTGCCTCCTGTATCCAGGAGAACCAGCCATCGGTTCCCAGCGTCCCCATGGACAATGCCCCCCACTAGCACTCTCTGGGTGCAAATGCGTCTCCTTCCCACTCCCAGGATACCCCAGCATGTGCCAACAAAACCCACAAGAGCACTGGGAGGAGGAGGCACAGCCCCCAGCAATGCGTTCCCAGCACCTCCATTCCTCACCCACCTGGTGGACAGCTCCCAGCTTCTCTGCAGCACTGGTGGCACGCTTGATGGCAGCTGCCAGCACAGCCAGGCTGCACTGCAGCTGCTCCAGCACCTCCTTGCAGCTCACATCCATGCAGGATGCAGTCAGCCTCTGCCGGGGGAGAGCATGGAGCTGCTGGAGCTGGAACTTGGAGTTGTCTGAACTCTTCTGGAGCTGGAGATCCCCAGCAGATGTCAACCCCCTCCAGTGCCCACCTACCTCCAGGAAAGTCCGGCACTGCCCCAGCTCCTCCTGGATGTTTTCCTCTGCTGCATCTTGTGCTCGCTTCTCCACCTGCACTCGTTGCTGCAGGGTGAACATGTCGCAGCGAAATGCCAGGGCGAGGTGGGCAAAGGCTGCCTGTAGGCAGGAGGGCAAAGGACTGGGACATGAAGGGGAGGCCACTGGGGCCATGCATGGCTTTCCCCAAAACACAGCCAGACTCCCTTTCATGTGCCATTGGGCAGTGCTCCATAAGAACCATCAGCACTGCTTGTCTCCAGACTCATCAGGACACTGCACAATGGGGGCAGACTGTGAAATGCCACAAAATGGGGACATCCCCTGGCAGCCAACAATGCACTGGAATCCCAAGGCCTGCTGGTACTAGGATGCAGTGGGCAAACACCAGCTCTCACTGCAGGTCTCAGTTGGCATGCAGGGCAGCAGAGCCTGACTCAGCTCTGGCACTCACAGAACAATTATTTTATGAGGGAAGCTTCCACTACCTCCCTGCTCAGGGAACTCAAGGAGAAATTTGTGGGATTACTGGGTGCTCATCATGCCACAGAAATGGAGCTGAATCCAAATGCCAACAGCATCACTGCCAAGGGACTGCGGCGCCTGGGAGCAGGACACAGTCCCCCAGCTGGGATTCAGTAGAACATTCGTCTCCCTTCCCTAGCCCACCCACAAGCCCTCACCTCCACGTCCTGCTCCGTCAAATTTGTGCTGCAGAAAGAGAACAGCTGTCAGAGCTGGAGGCACAGTGTGGACTGCATGCCAAAATGCCCTTGGTCTGCCTCCAGGGATTCCTCAGGACCCCTGTTCTGCAGCTCCCAGAAGCGATGCAGCCAGTCACCCCTTTACCTGTGCAGTCCCAATTTCTCCAGCACTGAGAGCTCACTGGGGAAACTCGGCAGCAGCTCCTCTGAGGTTTCTCCATCTGTGGGGAAGTCCATATGTGAAGGCTTTTGCTTGGTCTTCCCTCCTCCCTCTCATCCTCCCATACAGGTGCTACTAGGGAGGGAATGCCCCAGCACTTCTTCCATGAGGGACGGTTCCCGTGTCCCCATTGAGGAAGCTGAACCCTATCAGGTCACACGGTTCCCATGCTTGTCCCCAGTCACTTCATGCTCCACCACAAGGGCACCCAGACTAGGACATGGCATGGTATTCACCCACCTTCCTCAATCCCATCGTTGTCTCCAGTGCAAAAAGCCAGCTCCGTGCCTGGTTCCTGTGAAGGGGCACTTTCAGACCAACCCCCTTCCTGGTGCTGAATGGCATCCCCCCCCAAAAAAGCATCACTGAGTAGCTCTGCAGTCCCAAACCCATTGCCCTCCTGTCCTTCTCACCTCACTGACGCTCTCCATGCTCTCTTTGCTCCCAGTCAAAACCCTGTCCAGGTGCTCCTGAGGACTGCTCATCCTCCCTGGGGACAGAGAGAGGTGGCAGCAGTGTGGCAGCATCCCTGTGCCTGCCTTGAGACCCCCAAAACCTCCAGGATGCTGAGGAGCGTGGGCTGGCAGGTATCCCCCAAAGTACCCCTCACAGGGTTAAGGATGTCCCCATCATCCAGTAGTTGTTGGAAAGCAGGTAAGGGTTGCAGGACTGGAGGGGACACGAGGATGCAGGGAGGTGCTGCTGGGATGAGGGACCCCCACCTGGACCCATGCTATGCTGCTCAGGGAGAGTAGGGGCACAAAGCCACTTCTTTCCACCACCCCCACCCCAGATATCTTTACCTTCATCCGGAGCTGTGAGGAGCCTGGCTGGCTCTGCATGCTGCTCCCTACAGAGAGGAACTAGAGTAAACCTGAAAGCAACACTGGCAGGATAGGCAGCATCCCACCCGCACTGCCCAGGACCTTCGTCCTTTCCGGACATCCTCCGCAGCCCACTCCATCCCCATTGTCCCTGGCATGGGTGCAGCAGCTCTCCCTGTGCCTAACAGCCCTTCCATTGCAGAGGAGCCAGCAATGAGTCACCGGCCTGCAGCAGTACTTCTTAGCCCATTTATTTTGTCCTGAGTGCCAGGCAGACCTCACTGCCAGCTGGCCTCCTTGCAGGCACAGCAGCAAAGCTGGCTTGTGTCACCGCTATGGGGACAGCAGGCTTTATCATGTGGTCACTCCCCCAAAACCCTGCCCTATGTTCACAGGGTTCTAGCAGATCCATGGAGCCAGGGATGCTGTAGCATCACAGTGCATGGAGATACAAGGGCAAACATGGAGGTACAAACAGCAAACATGCCAGAGCCCAGCACCCAATTGGGGAAGAGTTTCCACTCCCAAACTTTGTTCCTGGCTCCAGGCAGAGCTCAGCAGCACTTTTCCCTCTCCTCCCTGCAATTTGTTCCCCAGGATCAGTGCCCAGGAGAGAAAGCATTTGCTGCACCAAAACAAGGCTGAGCACTACATCCGGCACTGCCATCCACATCCTAACCCTACCAAACTGGTGCACATACCTGCTCTGGTGGGGGCTCTGCCGGCTGCTCCTGCACTGTTTCCGTGCTGCACGCCCCTGGGCTCGTCCCCGCACCTCTTTCCCCGCTCCCAGCGATGTGTCCACCCGTGACTTCATCTGCACAGCACAGAGGCTCCAGGACCAGTACACCTATCATGAGAGACACGTATTAGCCATGCACAGATGGGAGAACGCCTCTAAATGTTATATTTTTAAAATGTTTTCTCACCCAGCGGCAGTGTGGAGGCATTTGTGGGCTGCAGGAGGATGCTGCTGGGATGGGCATGGGGAGAGGCAAGCGAGGGATTTACATCAAGCAACCTCTGTGCAGTGCTGAGGATGGGCTTTCCCTTCTGCCACCTCTGTTTCCCACCCCCCACCCATGATTTCCAACATCAGCAGCATGACCCTCACCCCTCCATGGGGTACATTTGCACTCCCTGCCAGGTGCAGAGAGGGAGCAACCTGGGCTGGGGTCACTCCAAGCATCCTGGCAGGCAGGCTCTTGTGCAAATAAATGCATGGAATTCCCACATCCTTCTATAAGTAAGCTCAGGTATATCATTTGAGTTATTTTCTAATGTTTAAAAAACAGAGAGAAAGATGGCAGTAAGCCCAGAGGGTCCCTGTCAGTCCCATGTGCTGAGCCTGCAGAAATGCAGCTATGGGGCAGAAGGAAATTTATTTCTTTTTTTTCTGTTTATTTGTTTTGGTCAGGATACAAAATGAAGCACAGATTTAAGGGGCTGACTGTGCAAAGCCTCAGCTGAGCCCAGTCATCCCCCCTTCTTCCACAGATCAGTCTTGATCTAGGAATATCTGACGACTTTCATGTCTGTGCATTGGGAATGTTCCTCAGAACCCCCCAAAACAAAGCATCCCATCAGTGAGCATCAGTCTCATCCAGAGGGATAGTCCCTGCTGCAAAGCAATCACCTCTGGGACAGTTGTGGCAGATCCTGAAGCCTGCTGCTTTACCCCATCGCAACACCCACCCTGTATCTTTGCTCCGTAGCTGGAAACACAGAGGAGTGCAGTTCATTGAACAGCTTAAATAACACCCAGGCAGCCCCACTCTCCCTTGGCTCACTGACTTCACCAAGCGTTCCCCAGGTCATTACCTGCCCGAATCCGTCCCAAAAGGCCCCAGCTCAGCCCCAGCCCTCTGCGCAGTCAGGACCCCAGGGATGGGAGCCAGGGCACCAAGCAGTGCACACTGCCAGCAGCACAGCAATTGCATCTGTGGCAGAAGGAGCTGCCAAGGGAACAGCTTGAAGGGAGAAGGCCTTTAAAGGACATGCACAAAGCAGTCAGAGCTCCCCATGCGGGGCCAGGCTGGGTGCTGCGCAGGTGGCCCTTTATTCCCTGTACGGGGACTAGAGAGGAAAAGCTGAACCTCAGCACCAGTTGGAAGTCCCCACACCTTCACATGGGGTGCAGCATGAGGGTACACCAGGACAGCTTGTATGTGGTGATATGAGCAAGCCCCATCCCCTCTCCACCCTGATTCACCTCAGCCATCAACCTCAATGACCCTTTCTCTGCTTGACCTCTTTGATTAAATCCACCACATCCCCAAAGCTGCTTTCTTCCCTAAGGAGCTTACATGGAGTCAGACTCGATAGTCAGCACTACAGAGGAGCAGCCTACAGGCAGGTAGGCACTGTTGTCTCCCTCATCCCATGTCCCCGCTGACGGTCTTTGGGGTCTGCCAATCTTCAAAGCCCCCAGAGGGCAGCCAACAAACAGCATCTCACCATCTGCAACAGGGCAGGCCCGGCTTTGTACCAGCTGCTGAGAGCTCAAGATTCAGCCCCAGGGCTGCAGAGCAGACAAAGAGAGTTGGGAGAAACCATTGGCAGCTCTGAAGCAGAAGCTGTGCTTTGCCAAAGTAGGATGGAGCTTGAACGGACACAGTTAGTGGGCATGGGATGATGGTTGAACTCAATCTCAGAATTCTTTTCCCATCTTAATGATCCACCCCCAGGATGGGGTTGCGAATGCCCCTGAAGCTCCAGGGATGGATTTTCCCTCCTGGGGCCATCACTTTCTGCTTTGACCTGACCCCACAGCAAAGCTGATGAGAAATCATGAGTCACTGTATGGGAAGGAGAGCCCCACATCCCCAGCAATGCAAACAGTGTTGTGCATGATTAGCACCAATTAATGTTATAACCTCATACTGCCAGCCCCAAGAAGACACAGGAACTCAGCAGAAGCTGCAAGAGTGTGGGAAATAGCCACAGACATGCTAAACAGCAAACTGGCACTGCCACCCTTTGCCTTACACAGCCTTAAAATATCTCCCTCAGGATCTCTCCCTTCCCTATCTCTCTATGTTAAGTTTGCTGCCCACCTCCAAGAATTTCGAGGTGCAAGGAATGGTCACTTGTGCTTCTTTCCAGAGGAGGATTTGCAGTGAGCAGAGGATGTTGATCTGAGCTGTGAGAGGATGCTTGAGATTTGCAGGGGGCAACTATGCAAGTCCAACCAGAGGCAGTGGAGCAAGACTCAGAGTAGCACCATCTCTCCCATTCCTCAACATCAGTGCTTTCCCAGCTGCTCAGCAAGCATCTCCAAAGGCAGAGCAATGGTCCTGGTAGAGACAGGTTTACACAAGCATTACTAGCACACTTCTGGACACCTTCTTGCTATAGAAAGCAGAGACCCAAGCACCAAAGACCCCTCCTTTGGGCTGAGACCCAGCTGGTGGAGCACCTGAATACTGCAATGACATTCGCTGCCTGGCCACGTGGGTCTAGCCTGTGTATTTCGTTGCTGATGCTGATGCTTTTTTTGCTTTTTCTAGCCCAGTACAATGTCTCTTGAGAAGAGACTGTTGAGAACAGAGCCCACAGCCATGATTTGTATAGCAGAGCATGAGGCAGAACAAGCAGAACATACAAGAACAGCTATCCCTGAGGACAGACAGAGGCTGGCAAACTCAGAGGTTGGAGGACAGACACCCCTGCATTTACCAGTGCTTTCCAACCAGAACAGCTTGGGTCATGCTGGCCCCATCCCTGCAGGTACCCTCCTCCCTGTGAGCAGCAGCCAGACACTGGGCAGGCTCCACAGCTTCTGCCACTATATCCTGGCAGGTGCACAGCTGCAGAAAGTGGCTTCGGCGAACACATAGACACATCATCTTGTCAGCTGCCCATGTCAGGAAAGAGCTTACACAAGCAAAAGCAGCCTGGCTCCCTGCACACCAACCTGCTCAGAGAGGACAATGCAGAACAAGACCCCACCAGGACATCTCCAGCTCCAAGAGCAGAGCAGCAGTGAAGGTCCCACAGCAGCTCATGGTGCTGACATCTTCCACAAGCTCCTCTCGAAACTGCCTCAGCTTGTTCTCAGATGGCAGGGACAGTGATCATCTGGATTATCCACTTCTCAGCTTCGGAAGAAAGCTGTTCAGATCCACACTGGCTGCTGCTGCTGCTGTGGCAAACATGATTTATGAGGTCAGTGCAGGGGCCTGGTCCTGCAATCAGCATAAAACTAAACCTCAGCCCTTGATTATGACCAGCAAACCCCAGCAAAGACCAGCTCTGTCATGGTTTGGCCTGGTTTGGCCGAGTGTCCATGACAAGGGGGCAAAGTGACCCACAGATTTATGTTCCAGGAAGGGGGCGGAGAAGGGAAAAGGTAGGGAGATGAGCCTACGCGAGGAAAACAGCTGCAACAAGCTAAAGGAAAAAACTTAGTTTACTAAATATAGTAGCGGAATGTGAGATAATAAAATATAATATGATTGGAATTGAAGCTAATAAATCATGTAAAATGAGAAGAAAATGACAGAGTTTCCAAAACTGACATCCTTACTCTGACGCTGCAGGCAGACAGGGAGCAAAGAGAGTAGCCTTGTGACTCCCAGTCAGCTTTGTCTTTCCCTCCAAAAGGAAAATGGAAACAGAAAAATGAAGTCTTCTGGGAATTGTAGTTCATGCTTCTCTTCTGAGACCAAGAGACTGGAAGTATTGACAACCCACAGAACTGCAGCACTAACTTTTTAACTTCCAGGGCACTGCCAGATGTTATGATGTGGAATACTGACGGAAAACCATAAAACCATGACAATCTACTTTCCTGAAGTCCGGGGAAGTTAACTTGCTGTGTCTGCAGTTTTCATTCATATTACAGATATTTGTAAGTACTTAACACAGGTTTCCTGGATTTTGAGAAGTTTTCCTTCGCTCTCTTCGTCTTTTTTTTTGTTGTTGTTTGTTTGTTTCCCTTCCTCTTCTAACTCTGTGTTTTTCCTCCTGTCCTGTCCTCAAGAGAAAGAGGCAACGGGTCCCAGGGACTGCGCCGCGGGTCCGCACCAAGCCCATTGGAGAAGTTCTATGTGGTCTCTATGTGGACCCCACGTGGGCCTCTGCTGCCACTGCGTGGTCAGATCGGGGAACTGCAGCCGTCGCTGTTCGGTGGCGCAGGCATGCGCGAGCTATGAGGAAGAGGAAAACGTACGTTCTCCGCACAGCTTATCTACCAGTCATTACTATGCTCGGTACTCCAGACAATAGTGCGCACGCGCCCAAGTGATTAAATAGCACCCACAATCAGCGAGCCACTGAAGTGCGTGCGAGAAGTGAATTCTTGGTCCACCGGCTCACCGTTACTCTCCCACTTTCTAGCCCAGGATGCTCCTTGTCTATTTCCTCGGGCGGTTTCATGCCGAGCCCACCCCAGCAACGGACCGTTTTTACTCCCAGCAGCCCCTGCGCCCGACGCACCATCCGATTGGCTCAGCATTGCAAACAATCTCGCGCATGCGTATTGTAATGTCAACACAGAAGCACGTGTAGTGTGCGTCACGGAGCAGCGCATGCGTAGTGATGAGACGTGAGTGGCGCGCGCGTAGTCATGCCCGAGGAGTTGCGCATGCGTAATATTATGACGGGAAGAACGCATGCGTAGTGCAGTGCCGGGAGTTGCGCATGCTTAGTAATGTCTTAGAACTGGCGCATGCGTAATGTATCGTCAACAGGCGCACATGCGCAGTCTATTGTCGAGAGAAGCGCATGCGTAGTAATGCGCCTGGATTGACGCAAGCGTAATAGCTCGTCGGAATTAGCATGCATAGTGCAGCGCGGGGAACAGAGCATGCGCTGGCACTAGCGCATGCGTGCTGCTGTGAGAAAACATGCGCATGCGAAGTGGCGAGTCAAGAGCAGCGCATGCGTAATCGTCTATCAGAACAAGCACATGCGTAATACTAGGATAAATAGGCGCATGCGCAGTTATGTCGCTAGAGTGGCACATGCGTAGTACTGTTACCAGTCTTGCACATGCGTAGTCCCTTTAAAAGAGAGGCGCACGCGCAGTAGCATGCCTGGCGTGGCGCATGCGTAGTCATGTATCAAAACTAGCACATGCGTTCTACTGTAATTAAGCAGCGCATGCGTAGTGCGCGGCACCAAGCAACGTAGCCGCAGTTCCTTGCATTGGCCACGCAGTGGCAGTAGAGACCGCGGAAAGAACTCCGACTGGATTGACGCAGATTTGCAGCGCAGTCCCTGATGGTGTGTTTTCTCTTGGGATGTCAGGGGAAGAACGCTACTGAGGACACCAAATCCTAAAATAATTTCACAATGGTCTTTAATTGCTGTGCAAGTGGATGACACGCGTTTCTCACTGGGAGCCATAAGCTGACCCCGGCGGTTTGGCAGACAGCACTCGCTCCATTCACACCGGTAATCTCAGCTCTTTTACTGCACGTGCAGCTTCTCAGCATCTTGCTACATCAGTATTGAAATCTGTGCTCCCCTATTTATTAAAAATTTCACCAATTGCCATTGAGGACAGACTGGAATCAAAATATGTGGACCATCCTAGCCCGTTCATTGATAACCTCTCCCCCCTCCCTTGCCAGACAGGCAGACCCAATTGGCTGCCGGTCATGACTTTTTTATTGGTTTGTTTGTTTTTTCTTTTTTTTTTTTTTTCCTTCATGCTTTTATGGGAACTTTGAGATCACAGCCGGAAGCAGTGATGGAGCACCTGGTGAGGGGTGTAGCCCTGCAAGCACAGGTGGAAGCAATGCAGCTGTGGGACCAGATGGGGCTGAATCTGACTCCACCCCTCCCTCACCTAAAGGGAGCCTACAAACAGAAGGGAAATAAACTCTTTGAAAGGGTGAGTGACAGCAGGACAAGGGGAAATGGTTTTAAGCTGAGGGAAGGGAGATTTAGGTTGGACGTCAGGGGGAAATTCTTTACGGAGAGAGTGGTGAGGTACTGGAACAGGCTGCCCAGGGAGGTTGTGGATGCCCCGTCCCTGGAGGTGTTCAAGGCCAGATTGGATGGGGCCCTGGGCAGTCTCGTCTAGCATTAGGTGGAATGGTTGGTGGCCCTGCATGTGGCAGGGGGGTTGGAGATTCATGATCCTTGAGGTCCCTTCCAACCCTGGCAATTCTGTGATTCTGTGATTCTTTTGCTCTTATCTCATTTCTGGAATGCTTCAATCAGCCCCAAGGTAATGCTGGTTGGCTGACTGAGCATTGCAACTCTGGAAATGCCTGGAGCTAATGCACTTCTCAGTAAAGAGATTCTATGTTCTCCAGGTTTCCTTTGCAACTCTTCTTAAGCTCAATACCTTCTCACAAAGTCTCTGTTCCCTCTTTCACGATTCTCATTGCATAATCTCCAACCTGGGACTCCAAACTTGGTTTGTCTGCTATGTTGTCCCAACCCATTTTATGACATGTACCCTCTGCATCTCCCTCCACATTCCCTCTGTGTCCTCGTGTCCCTCTTGTGCCTTTGTGTCCTCCCTGTGTCCTTTGCCCATGCCCCCTCTGTGTCTCCTGTGCCACGTATTAATTCCACCCATGCTGAGTATAGTTTAAGGGCACGTATTTAAACTATGTTCCACATCTATCTGCATCTCGTTTTGCAGCTCGATGGGGTTTAAGGGTTTCTGGGGCTCCTCTAGTTAGTGGTTTAAGCACTGTGAAACCTGTGGAGCAGATAATGGAACACCATGAATCCCTTGTTCATGCATTGCTTGTATGCAGGTGGGTTTTGTGATGGCTGTAGGACGCTCACTTAAAGATGGAATGGGGATTACAAGGGGCTTACCTTGTTCCCTGGGCTTTATTCTTCCAGCCCGATAAGCTCTGTGGCTGGTGACAGAGTGAAGAGCATGTATCAGGCTGGGACCTGAGCTTAAAAAAAACGCCAGATCCCAGTGGCCGTTTTCTTCATCCTCACTTAGTGTAATACAGTCTCCACTACTCAGATATACTGAACACAAGTATTCTGTTCCTATTTTGTCTGGTTCTCTCCTAGACCTCCCTTACAAATTTGTCAGTAGTAACAGATGTCAGGGCATAGTTCTCAGAGCACATTGTGGCCGACAACCCCAGGGTCCTAGGGTTCTTTCTGTTTTTATGGCAGATCTGGCTTCGTATTTATAGGAAACAAAGGATTGTCTTCTACTGGACCACTTCATCTGGATCGCCCCAGGTATCTCCATCCCAATTGTCAGGGGATGCTGTTAGTTTCCTAGTCTGTATGATAGCCAACCTCCCCACCCCTCTTCCTTCCATCCCCTGACCCCCCATTAAATAGCTAGCTCTGCAGCTATGGGACCCACCAGTGTGATGAAGCAGTACCTCTGGTGTGCTGAATACTGGCACTGGCACAGAGAGGCTCTATGGCTGATGTGAATCTTCCTGACTGGACTACTTGGTGAGTTTCCCCAGAGCTGTAGAGCACACAGGCTTCCCCACCTACCCTTCCTGCTCACCAGGCCATCGATGTCCTTTGTGGGCATGGCTTCAGGTATCATACCAGAGACTCCTTAGAGTCGGAAGCGACCATTTATGATGGTCTAGTCCAACT